TTCCAAGTATGCTGGAGATTGGAACAGTACTTCGGCGGCACTCGATTTTTATTTTTATTTATTTTTTTCGATGACGTAGTATGCTTGAAATAGTGGCTTGGAAGCAGCTTTACTCGCGATTGAGAAACACCCCCTGTCAGACGAGACATATACCACGTGATGACACGTTAGGCTCGTGTTGTGTTCAAGGACCCTGACCTTGGCCAGGAAAAACAGGCACTCGCTTGTTTAATTATTTTGCGGTCTAGATTTCTTTAACTTTTTTCTTTTTTGCGTGTGTTTATAAATGACCTCGAGGGCCGTACCAAATGGTTTTGCGGTCCGTATACGGCCCGGAGGCCGAAGGTTCCCCACCCCTGATCTACACCCAGCAGAGCATACAGACAGGGTCATCAGAGAGCAGTGGCGGTTCTAGATCAATTTGACTGGGGGGGGCCAGGCTCGGGCCAGTTATTTTCTGAGGGGGGCACAATAAATGCAGGACGAAAAAGACAAAGACAGTATGAAGTAATTGCGCATTAGAAAACCATGCAATACAGTTATTGGTATTTGTTTCATTACACATTATCATATGCTTACCTTTAACCTTTGTGTGTTTGTGGGACCCGTTTTCAGTGTTTACTAAAAGATTATTTTTAAATGTTGAAGTGAAATGCATCAATCTGGAACACTTTGAGCACAACATGAATTGATGGAAACAGCTCTCAACACTCAGATGAAAGGGAGCTGTATACTTTTCAATAATCCAAACATCTTTAGAATATGATCACAACCAATAACAAATAATTTAAACTTGTTTATTCTTATCTTATCTATAGTTAGCATTCTTTCTTTTTATTTATGCATATTTGACTAATCACTCCCCTTTTAAACTGTTTTTTTTACTGTCCTATAGTACACATTGGAAAGATTTCTTACTTTCTTTTTTACAACTATATTAAATAGATGACGGCTTGCGTAAAAAAACAACAACATATTTGTAAAGTGGGGGCTATTGAGGGCTTGCGAGATACCGGTAGCTCGTGATCGACGTGTTGGAGACCCCTGCTCTAATGGGTCCGACTAGAATGACAAATATCGTTAGTTCCGCCTATTCCGTCAGCCAAGAAATCATTTCATCATAAACTTTTTTTTTTTTTTTTTTCATTTTCAGGGTGGCCACAGGGGGGTCCAAAGTCAGTGTTAGGGGGGCACTGCCCCCCCCTGGCCCCCCCTGGCAGTTTATTTCTTAAACTTTGTCACAATAAATAATTGTTGCTTTATCAATATTTGTATACATATCGAAAGGAGCCATTTCAAAGGGAGAATGACACATAAGAGAGTAATGTGACTGCTTTGCTGTACTTGTTGTGCATTGAGAACAAGAAATCTAAAGAAGCTGATTGGTTAAGGGCAAATCGCAGCACCAACTAGTAAAGGCTGTGAGAAAAAAAGAAAATGTGTGAATTCTCTTTTTTTTTATCATGAAATACATACCATCCATTTTCATTCGTTCAACAAACTGTCAAGTCATATGACATTATGTATTCATGCATTTATTCAAAATGCTTGTACTTAAACTGTCAAAATCTCTTTTACATCTTGCAATTCATTCAATCCGTCTCTGAGGGTGCACACTCTAATAACAAGACATGTATCTCAAACTTAGAACACACCTGTTAAGCCCCAAAGCCCCCGTCGGCGGGTCTTTTTTTATTTTATTTTTCTTTATTAAAAAAAATTATTACATTTTTTTTTCTTTGGATGGAATGAATACCTATGGTGATAATTCAATGTAATACATCATTTTTATAGTCTGGTACCTGAAAAAGGTCAAATGGCACTGATGGAACCAGATGTACCCAAATGTGCCGAAAGCTTATTCCGCCTGGAACTTTTTTTTGCTAAATCTCTCTAAAAAGGTCAAATTTAACTTGTTTTGCATCAATCTTGATACAGGGTACTTATTATATGTTATAGTTTGGATTCCTAAAGCTTTTAGTCTACCATCCCATCATTCAAGGGTGGTTTTCACAATAAGTAATGTTTTTTCTTTAGGCGGAGGTAAGAATTTACCTTTTTTTACTATGTTCCATCTGAATTTACTCTGACTGAGAAAAATCTATATTGATTCTGACACTTCTACGTCCAACTCACAGATGTAACCTTGCTTTGATAAAAGAAATTATTCATATAACCCTTTTAGAAGTGAAGTTGTAGTCATTTGTTTTGGCCATGTCATTTTCGAGCCTGAAACCTGAAAAACAGGCTCGGGCTTAACAGGTTGAGGTAAGTAAACAGAACTAACAGGAAAATCTGAGCACTGTGCTGGTTGGTTGGAACTTACGTGTCGATCCACTGCTGCAGCGTGTCCCGCAGCTGCTCTCTCTGGATTGGCTGAGCCAGGGTGCGCAGGGCAGGTTGGAACTCAGTGATGGAGGGGGGCAGATACCGGAACCAGCTGCCGGGGCTCGTCTCCTCCTGCAACACCCGGCGCTTCTTAGCTGAGGACAGAGAGGGGGTTTAATGCTCCAACATTTTCTCTATCTAGGATTCAAAACACATCTATTAGCAGCCACATTTATATAAACCCTATTCATACAATCTGCTTTTAGTAGTCTTCAGTCAAATCAGAACACACAGATGTTATTACACATAGCACTGAGCACGGCTGAGTCTCTCTACATATACTAATACATCTGTTTAGAAATGTTGATACCACATTAACATTACCTTTCCAATTTGTTCAACAAGTATTAACAATGCAAACAGGAACTGCTGGTAGCTAGTGTGGCATTGCTTTTCATGGTATAGATTCAGAAAATTTAACTGGCCTGTTTTTTTTGTTAGCGCTCTGTAAGGACATCACTAAAAGTATCCAAGCTGTTTACCTGCATATGTGGTAGAGGTGACATTCTCCAGGGTGGAGAAGAGCATGCCACAGCTCAGAGCTCCCTCTGAAGGCCGGGGCTGTCCCTCTGGGGGCAGGTAGAAGACTGCGTAGGCCTGGAACAGGGTGGTGACCAGCAGCTCCACCAGGCTGCACACCTGAGCCTTAATCCCTGCACCTGCACCACACACAGCTTTATGTCAACTGACGCATCTCTGTTCAAAAGTAACATTCACAGTAAAAGCCTTCCAGCAGAACATGCTGCACTTCTTGCTTCAGAACTCCTATGTACAAAATATGCTTTTGCACACTGAAATTAAAAAGCATGACTGCTGGCAGGTACCGTGCTGTGGTTGGTTGAGCAGCTGATGGATGGAGGCCTTCCGGGCCAGCAGGAAGTCAGCCAGGGCCTGGCGGGGGGAGCTGCCCTCCAGCAGCATGGTGGACACCAGGGCCTCAGCGATGGCCTGGTCCGACACGGCCCGGCCCCGCAGCAGAGACCTGCTGTCCAGCAGGATGGTGGACCTGCAGGAGGACAGACGGTCACTCAGCTTTCAAGCCGCTGCACTGGAGGGATCCATCACTATCATCCTCAGCTCTGAGGCCTGGAGATTCTCTGGCAGAATCACTAACATCAAAGCAGGACGTGTCCAGAGCCCTCTAACCAACACTAATTAAGTACACTAGGGCTCTACAATTAATCAAACAATACTCAAATAGCAGGAAGCAGAATATATGTTAACGGTAATGTTTTAAATACCATTCTGAATGAAGTATAAGACACATGTTCGATAATGCTGCTGCATGAGACCCCCTTTGTCCTGCAAAAGACACAGCAGTAAGAGCTCCCTACCTGACGTGCCCGGTGGTGGCCACCTGCCGGACCAGGATGGGGAAGCGGGCCAGGACGGGGCTGTAGTGCCCCCCCGCGGCGGTCTCCAGCTGCAGCGTGCTGTGCAGGTGGCAGCCCAGCAGGTAGAGCTGCGTGGCCTGCAGGAAGCGGCACGCCTCCATGGAGCTCCAGATGCGCTCTGGGATCTCCAGCAGGAGCTTGATCTGAGAGGCCATGATGTAGAACTTCTCCTGCCACTGCCTCTGGTTCTAGCACAGCAGAGCACACACACACAAATGAGTGAGATAGGCAATCATATAAGGAGCAGAAAATAATGCAATGATCCCCTGTTTGCCACCAATAGTACACACCTATAGAACACATGTTCTGAAACAAGGTTACCCATGGGAACAAATAAACAACCTGTGCAGTTAAAGTCAGCAAGGTCTTCAGGTAAACCTGGTAAACAAGTGACCCAGCAGCAGCACTTTATGCTCTGACTCAGGCAGGTGGCCTCTGTGAGTTATGGCTGTAAAACTCTAGAGGTTAGGTTGTATTATCAGATATAATCTATGCCGAAATGAAATGCAAAGAGTTGTTATTATATGGGGGTGTGTGTGTGTGGGGGGGGGGGGGGGGGGGGGTGTATGCATGTGACTCATGAGATCATTAAACACCCCTTTCTTTTAATAAAGATTCCAAATGACAGGGTTACATAGTGAGATGTACCTCCTGCCTGCAGCTGCCCCCCCCGGCCCTGCCTTGCTTCAGGCTGTGGCAGTACTGGTGCATGTCCCGGATGGACAGCACCACACTCTCCGAGCACTGCCTCATCTCTCCGATGGTGTCTGCGGCGTCGATCAGGTCCCGGTACCGCTCCCCCACCATCTGTCGCAGCTCCTCCTTCTTCTGCTCGATCTCCCCGCGGACCTTGCGCTCAATGCGGCGAATCTCCGCGGTGTTGTACCGCTCGAACAGAGCCGCCGGGTCCTTGATCTCCGAGACCCGGAGAGACAGAGCGGGGTCCTCGGCCATCGCAGCGCAAAACAACTCCAGCTGCTCCAGGAACTCCAACCCGGAAGAAGTGCACTTCCTGTTTCCACGTCACCAAAATGTGACGAAGGCTGAGCATGGTATGTTGATTGGTCACCACAGCTGTCTGTCAGGGAACATTTCCGGGTAGGTAGGGAGCCGCCTACTCTCACTACCTGAACCAATCAAATCGTCGCAAAGAAGAATGACATTACGTTTGGAAAAATACTTCCACTACTAGTTTACTCAGTATTGGTAAGTATTTAAATACTTTCACCTACGTATTATTTTTTAGTTACTTGTGATTTACTTGAGTATTTCCATGTTATTTTTACCTATACTTACAAGTTACCGGTACTCAACAATACAGAGGTAAATATCAAACGTTTGACTTTACTACCTGTGTTTGATATTTGGTTCTTAGTTACTATACAGATTAATAATTAACACAACATATTATTAACAAATACACGATTTATCCAACTTAATTATTATTATATTATTGAGTGTGAATGTGAGTGTTGGAGATGTAGGTGTGAACCTTTATATATACAGTCTATGGTGTGAACGTGTGTCAGGTGAACACATACACCTTTGGACCCGGAAGAAGGACAGAACAACACACAACTCCGAGTACAGGTGAGTCACCTGGTGCTCCGAATTAAAAGATGATTTCTTCATTTATTATTTATCAAATGTTATCAGTTTGATCAAACGTCATCTTTTAAAGCTTTTTAGTGAATGAAGTAGGCTTCTAACCTGTAGACAGAGAATTGTAGCCTCCTAATGATGTGTAATGTGCGTGTGGTGTGTGTGCGGAGCAGGATGTACTGTTCATTCCGGGCTGGGTCGCCATGGTAACTAATGCCCCCCAATGATTGTGCAGATTGTTCCATTTCAGAATAATATATATGATATGTTTTATAATGATTGATCATGAAAGTGTTCTCAAAGCTGGTAAAGGTGCAGCTAGTTTGAATGACTTTGTATACTGCAGGGTAGCTTGTGAATTTACTCCAGGTGGAACTACAGTCTGATTTAACACTTGATTAGATTTCACATCATTCATCCACATCTGTAAAGTAACTAAATCACATGAATTTAGAATAAACACATTTAGCACAAGTTTATCACAACAAGCTGGAACAAACAAGTACAATCTTAAACCTTGTCTTCACAGAAACTATCTCATACCATTAATAAAGTACAATTAGTAACCTGAATTCAGTTATGTAACAGTAGCATATGGTGTGTGTGTGTGTGTGTGTGTGTGTGTGTGTGTGTGTGTGTGTGTGTGTGTGTGTGTGTGTGTGTGTGTGTGTGTGTGTGTGTGTGTGTGTGTGTGTGTGTGTGTGTGTGTGTGTGTGTGTGTGTGTGTGTGTGTGTGTGTGTGTGTGTGTGTGTGTGTGTGTGTGTGTGTGTGTGCAGATGGAGCACAGAGAGCTGCAGCAGGATCTGGAGGATCAGTGGGGTCAGGTGGTTACCAGACTGCAGGGGAAGGTCTTCCAGTCGGACTGGGACATCGCCTCCTTCACAGTCTTCTTCATCTTCATCGGTGAGTGGCGGCGAAGACAAGAGGCTTGAGCATGTTTGATACTAAATACATTTGGACTTTTCCCCTACCCAATTTTGTGTCATTTATCTACACTGCCTTTATCTGATACATGTAGTTACTTTACAGATTAAGATTATTAATGCAACATATAATAAACTAATCAAATACATTTATATAGGAAAGAAGAAGAAATATTCAAAATGAGCTCCACCTTCACCAGCTGCAACGATCAATGATTCGTATCCATTAATATGATATTTTATTCTGAAATGAGCATTTCTGCATGGGTACTCTTTGGGAGTGAAGTAGTATTATTACTAATACAATAGGTGTATTCTCTCACTGTGGTGTATCTGTGTATCTGAGTTCTTCCCCTCCTGATGGACTGCAGTCTGACATTTTCACTGGAGCCATTTTTTGTTCGCAATTTAAGAAGCAAACTTGATCTGAAACTAACGTCATTATGTCTCATGCTCATCATTGCAGTAAAGCTCTGTACAATGACGCTTGAATACAAAGATAAACGTGTTTGCACAAAGTTACTAAGGTGTTTGGTGGGCAAACAGAAACAGACATTTGTCCAGTTCAGGATCAGAACTTTTCAGGACAGCAATGAGGCAAATACAATCAGACAGTTAGTTTACTTTGCTCTTAATAAAGTATTAAACTGAACACGGAAAAGCAATGTCTCCATTGTAAAATGATTGTATTGGTATTGCAGTAATGCCCCTGTCTGGCCACTGCACAGAACATGAGAGGAACCTTCAAACTGAATACTGCCCTCTGCAAATATTTGTATTAATAAGTTGATTATCTCCTGAGCAACTGAGGAAAATAAACGTCAGCCTGTGCAAAATCCTCATGTCACGTGTAACCAAAAGGTAACGTGGGCAATGTTAGAACAAACGAGCTCCTTTCTGCTGAACACTGTCTGATCGTGGTTCTGTTTTCAGGCATGGTTCTGCTGCTGGTCCTCCTGGTGCTTATCCGCTGCTGCTGCTGCTGCTGCGATGATGAGAAGGTAAACACACACACACACACACACACACACCAGATAACTGAGGGAACACACATGTGTTGTGGTGAGGTGATGGCAGAAATCAAAAACAGAAAGGGAAAGCGCTTCGGTAAAATCTCACAATAAAGTCATGGAGACGTGTTTAGGCACGCTGGCTGACACTAACTGTACAAACAGTTTCTAATCTGAGCTGTCAGTTTGAAATCCATGGCTAAAGCATGTGTTCAAAATCACTCCCTAATTATTATAACGTGTGCTATATTTACCCTCCATAAATGTTATTTCATTTACTGCGATGTGAGTTCATATTCATATGGTGCGTCATATATGACCTGATGGAACAAACACATTTGATTGCACAACAATCCTTCAATGCAATGCATTTCATATGTGAGAATGGCAGCTGCTCGCTACTGGATTTGGTTGACCCTCCTCCAGTGAATAGTTCTAAATCTAGATACCAAATTAAACTGGAGCAGCACTCCAAGAAAACTGAAAAGTTCTGCACCAAGGATTTATCAATACTCAGTTAGCTTTCAGGTGTTTCAGAGCCACGGCGGGGAACATATTCAACCCCCCCCCCAGTAGTAGTCTGCTGCTACGGATAGTGAGGGGCGTGGAAGGTTAAAAGAGGACGGGTTTATTATTCTTTTTCTGACAAGTGATCACCCCCCCCCTCATATGGCCTTCTACAGGGAGTAGAGAGAACAGTACAGAGAAGCAAAACATGTTTTGTTGCAACAGCTGCAGACAGTCCAGGAACACCAGGAGAGACGACAGGAGAAACACTGCCTGTAATACTTTTAACGTTTATTCCTGCTCACAACAGGCAACAATGTGATTGGTTACCTGATTTTAAGTTCTGTAATGATTGGTAAATAATAAAGAATAAGCTCAGAAAAGAGAGGCCTTCCATGTGGCTGCTCCACTGAACCTCCGGACAGCAGACAGTCCTCAGCAGGCACTGGCTGACCTTCTCTCCCCTGATGCTGGAAGACAGGACCCCTCCTCATGTATTTAATACAGACACATCATACTCCGTGAGAGATGTAGTGAAAGGACTCTGTATTGTGATGCTGACAGAAAGATGTTTCTGTGCTTGGTCCACAGCCTCGCAGACACAAGGTGGGCATCGAGAACATGGCTCTGCAGCCTTGAACCCCCCCACCCCCCAGCTGCATCCAGCACACACCACATGAGTACGGGTGGAACCAGAAGCAGAGCCTCTGTCAACGTGCACACCAAATGAATACTTTTTTTCTAATTAATAACACTCTGCAGATCTTCCGTCACAAACAGAAAACGCATCTATTTCAACTGTACCATGGCAATGAAGTTATTGCTGAAAAAAACCAAAAAAACAAGCACTTGTTGAGTTAATGTAGGCCGTGTAACTGATTCACCAGCACTCACTATGCTATGATTTAGCTTGAAGTGAATATATCTGCACTTTCCTTGTTGATCGGAGTTTGATTCTTTATGGTTTTTGCACTTATTGTAAGTCGCTTTGGATAAAAGCATCAGCTAAATGATATGGAATGTAATGTAACACATCTGTAAAACTAATAATAAAAGGATCAACTTTGCTCTATATTGTGTTGGTGTGTGTCTCATCAGGCTGTGTTCATTCTTACTTGTTGGAGCAAACAGAAACAGACATGTGTCCAGTCCAAAGTGCACAGAATCCCATGGAAGCAGGACTCGTATGACAGGAGGAATATGTTTACAGTCCTGACTGATCCCAGTGCTGCCTCTCTGTGGTCAGACCCACCCTGTGTCCTTTAACCCATGGAGGTGTTTCAGAGGTTTTCAGCACAACATTCATACCCTCCTTTAAGCCATCATGTGACCTTACAATGGTTCTGTTCACGCAGCGTGTAGCTGTGATCTCTGATAGGACTGACCTCCTCACACTGGACCAATGTGTGTGTAGTTCCTCACTACAGAAGCCCTGTGAAAGTGAGACAAAGATTCTGGTGATCCAATGGCTAACTGTGATGCTTTTCTCTTGTATTTATGACTTAAGAACAGATGACAAAAAGCTTTTACAGGACACATTTGAAATGGTCAGGCTTTTGTTTGTCTGTTGTTATTATTCTCAATACGACCACAAGAGGTGTGTTCTACAAAATAAATAATCATTTATCATTTCCCCCTGCAAAAGGTACATATATGATTTGTTTGCATGTACTGTAACATCAAGCATGTCTTTGTTTTGGATGTAAATGTATGCAACTTAGAGCCATTTCAGCCTTTTTTGCATTTAAGTCATAAACACAAGAGATCGTTGTTGTTTTTAGATCAGACTTAGATCTATTACAAAATAGATCAAAAGGATTTCACTTGTTTTTCCTTGGCTCTCAGGGCTTCTGTCAGATGATCTGCATTATCCCAATTTCAACTAAAACAGTTTGCTTTACTTCTGAGGAACATGAGGAAGCCCTCAGTGGTCATATGGAATCATGCTAATCAGAATGAATGCAGACACATGCATCACGAGTCAACATCAATGAAATGAATAAGTCAATAATAAGATACAGTGGGTCAGTAGTGCTCCTGCTGATAACTGTGTAGGCACATACTGAGTGCATGTTCTAAACACATCCGTCTGCATCAGGAACACCACACGCACAGGAAAGGGTCAAGAGTTCAAACTGGACAGGTTATCCTTTAGAATCTTTTTATTGCACGGACAGATAAATCATTTCCACATTTTATACGATAGGCAGCTTTTTAATCTAGTTTAACACTTACTGGAATGAAGTCATTTGTTCATGATTGGATCAGTGTTCATCAACAACATCACGTGCAAAACAAATCAATATAAACAGAGCAAACAAAGATGACATCACACAGGTAGCTTATCATTGAAACAGGGAATGTGAGTTGTGTCAGTTCCACCAAGTGGGGCAATAATCAATCATACACAAATCCAATAACGACATACTGGAAAAACAAATATAAAATAACTTAAGGATATGCTGACATGAGATGTTTAACATCAGTGTCTGAGGGGGGACGTTGGAGCTGCCCCTCTGAGGACTGATCTACCCTATCATCAGTCTACAACATATTCAACACCATCAATAATCACACACAATATGACCGTCCATCCCCTCAGATAAGACTTTCTATTGCAACACTCTGCATTCCTCATACACGTTGAAACACCCAGTGCTTTAATCATGGACTCAATTGACTAACATCACAGCTGGGTGTACTGGAGATGACTGATTGTGTGTATCCATAAAGTCGGGGGACTTACAGACCGAACACATCCGTGCTGTAGCGGTTGAAACATCCTGACTGAGTCTGTCATTTATGTTACAGAAAACTCAAAAAGATCTTTTGATAAACCCTCGTTACAAGTGAATGCCCACTTTGATCCAACACCACCCTTTAGTTCCTGACACAGACTGTTTACTAGGAGTTCATGCATCATCTAGTCTCTGTCACAAAGTCCTTCTCAGCAGTTGGTTGGTGGTGATCCAGTCTGAAGCGGATCATATACAAGTGTGAGCTGAAAGGCTTCTGTAGATGGGGAGCTTTGTGTTCTTGATGTGAGTGAGCAACAGCTGATGTTAGCAGCATGAACACACTTTGACTTTTTGATATTTGGACAGACAGAAGCTTCTTCTTCGAACCTTCTGACTCCCACCTCATAATATGTGACCGCTGAGAGGTGAGAATGTTCTCATGATGTTTAGTGATGCATTTACACACAGTTTAGTACCTCATCCATAGACATAGACCAGAGCTGGACCATGAGAGCTCACCCACAGATAACTCATAACACATTATACCCTGGCTTAGTAATAATAACCATGACTATAGTTTGGACTTTAACATGTGACATTGGTGGAGGGCCTTTTCAAGAGAGTACAATTATATTATAACATAAAACAAAAAGTGACCTCCTAGAACTGCTTAGTGCTCCACACAGTAACACAGCTCAGAGGAGAGATACTCACTAACAAATGACTTCTAACAACAATCTCATTCATGCTTCCATTCATTCATTGAGATGTTCCAGTCAGTGCTGTGAGAGGACACACACACACACACACACACACACACACACACACACACACACACACACACACACACACACACACACACACACACACACACACACACACACACACACACACACACACACACACACACACACACACACACCACACACACACACACACACACACACACACACACACACACACACACACACACACACACACACACACACACATCACACACACACACACACACACACACACACACACACACACACACACACACACACACACACACACACACACACACACACACACACACACAGAATTTCAGTCAGCCTGGCTAACACCGTGTGAATATTGATATCTGTGGGTTTGATTGGCTCCTTCACTGACCATGCAACACTTGAAGCTGAATGACTGCATGAGATATATATATATGTGTATATGTACTGTGTATAAAAAATAAAGACCTCGGCACGAAGAGGCTCAGAACGGCCTGTAGTTCCAGAAGCTGGAGAAGACAGAGATCTGCAGGAGGAGAGACAGAGCGGCTCACTGACAGTTAGGCTGCCTCAGGAGTTGTGAAGTCAGAGGAGAGCTCCCTCACACAGATGAGCTTGACTCACAGGTGGAGCACCTCTACAGCCAGGATCTCTCCTGGACACATCAGCAGTTTGCTTTTTAATCAGAAAGGTACAAGCTGGTAAACATCAAAACCTGATGGCTAGAAGTTACCTCTGAGGATGTTTATTGAATTTCAGACAGACACACCCTGTCGCCGTCTTTGTTCTCAACTGCAACTACAAAGGAACTTTAACAAGGGATTCAGAGTGAAGGAAACCCCCCCCCCCTCTACCTTCACAACTCTGTAATAGAGTAACACAGATGAGTCATGTGACCCTGACAGAGTGGGACTGGCTCGTGGTGCAGGACACTCACCTTGTCCTTGAGCTGCTGGCAGAGCTGCAGAGAGATGGTGAAGAACACCAGTGTGTCGTTCAGCCACGGCACCACACACTCCACCTTGTGGACGTGGCTCACCTCGAAGCGGTTGTGGTTGAGCTCACTGTGGAGGAGAGGGAGAGGACCAAGGAGACGTTAGAGGAACCTTAAACAGAGACACAGAGAGACACAGACAGAGACAGAGAGACACAGAGACAGAGACACACAGAGACACAGATACACAGAGAGACACAGAGAGACACAGAGACAGAGAGACACAGAGACAGATACACAGATAGACACAGATACACAGACAGACACAGAGACAGAGAGACACAGAGACAGATACACAGATAGACACAGAGACAGAGAGACACAGAGAGACAGATACACAGATAGACACAGAGACAGAGAGACACAGAGAGACAGATACACAGATACACAGATAGACACAGAGACAGATACACAGATAGACACAGAGACACAGAGACACAGAGACAGAGAGACACAGAGACACAGACAGAGACACAGACAGAGACACAGACAGAGACACAGACAGAGAGACACAGAGACACAGACAGAGAGACACAGAGACACAGACAGAGAGACACAGACACAGAGACACAGAGTCACAGAGACAGAGAGACACAGAGACACAGAGACACAGACAGAGAGACACAGACAGAGACACACACAGAGACACAGACAGAGAGACACAGAGACACAGACAGAGAGACACAGACAGAGAGACACAGAGACACAGACAGAGAGACACAGAGACACAGACAGAGAGACACAGAGACACAGACAGAGAGACACAGAGACACAGACAGAGACACAGAGACACAGACAGAGAGACACAGAGACACAGACAGAGACACAGAGACACAGACAGAGAGACACAGAGACACAGACAGAGAGACACAGACAGAGACAGAGACACAGACAGAGAGACACAGAGACACAGAGACACAGACAGAGAGACACAGAGACACACACAGAGACACAGACAGAGAGACACAGAGACACAGACAGAGAGACACAGAGACACAGACAGAGAGACACAGAGAGACAGACAGAGAGACACAGAGACACAGACAGAGACACAGACAGAGACACAGACAGAGAGACACAGACAGACAGAGAGACACAGACAGAGAGACACAGAGACACAGACAGAGAGACACAGAGACACAGACAGAGAGACACAGAGACACAGACAGAGACAGAGACACAGACAGAGAGACACAGAGACACAGACAGAGAGACACAGAGACACACACAGAGACACAGACAGAGAGACACAGAGACACAGACAGAGACACAGAGACACAGACAGAGAGACACAGAGAGACAGACAGAGAGACACAGAGACACAGACAGAGACACAGACACAGACAGAGAGACACAGACAGAGAGACACAGACAGAGAGACACAGAGACACAGACAGAGAGACACAGAGACACAGACAGAGAGACACAGAGACACAGACAGAGACACAGAGACACAGACAGAGAGACACAGAGACACAGACAGAGACACAGACAGAGAGACACAGACACAGACAGAGAGACACAGAGACACAGACACAGACAGAGAGACACAGACAGAGAGACACAGACACAGACAGAGAGACAGAGAGACACAGACAGAGAGACACAGACACAGACAGAGACACAGAGACACACACAGAGACACACACAGAGACACAGACAGAGAGACACAGACAGAGAGACACAGACAGAGAGACACAGACAGAGAGACACAGAGACACAGAGACAGAGAGACACAGAGTCACAGAGACAGAGAGACACAGACAGAGACACAGACAGAGAGACACAGACAGAGAGACACAGAGACACAGACAGAGAGACACAGAGAGACACAGAGACACAGACAGAGACACAGACAGAGACACAGACAGAGAGACACAGACAGACAGAGAGACACAGACAGAGAGACACAGAGACACAGACAGAGAGACACAGACAGAGACAGAGACACAGACAGAGAGACACAGACAGAGAGACACAGAGACACAGACAGAGAGACACAGAGACACAGACAGAGAGACACAGACAGAGACACAGACAGAGAGACACAGACAGAGAGACACAGAGACACAGACAGAGAGACACAGAGACACAGAGACACAGACAGAGAGACACAGAGACACAGACAGAGAGACACAGACAGAGACACAGACAGAGAGACACAGACAGAGACACAGACAGAGAGACACAGACACAGAGACAGAGACACAGACAGAGAGACACAGACACAGACAGAGAGACACAGACACAGACAGAGAGAAACAGAGACACAGACAGAGAGACACAGAGAGAGACACAGAGACACAGACAGAGACACAGACACAGAGACAGAGACACAGACACAGACAGAGAGACACAGAGACACAGACAGAGAGACACAGACAGAGACACAGACAGAGAGACACAGACACAGACAGAGAGACAGACAGAGACACAGACAGAGAGACACAGACAGAGAGACACAGACACAGACACAGACAGAGACACAGACAGAGACACACACAGAGACACACACAGAGACACAGACAGAGAGACACACAGACAGAGAGACACCGACAGAGAGACACAGACAGAGAGACACAGACAGAGAGACACAGAGACACAGAGACACAGAGACACAGACAGAGAGACACAGAGACACAGACAGAGAGACACAGACAGAGAGACACAGAGACACAGACAGAGAGACACAGAGACACAGACAGAGAGACACAGACAGAGACACAGAGACACAGACAGACACAGAGACACAGACAGAGAGACACAGACAGAGAGACACAGAGACAGAGACAGAGAGACACAGAGACACAGAGACACAGACAGAGAGACACAGAGACAGAGAGACAGAGAGACACAGAGACACAGAGACACAGAGACACAGAGACAGAGAGACACAGAGACACAGAGACACAGAGACAGAGAGACACAGAGACAGAGAGACACAGAGACACAGAGACACAGAGACACAGAGACACAGACAGAGAGACACAGACAGAGAGACACAGAGACAGAGAGACACAGAGACAGAGAGACACAGAGACACAGAGACACAGAGACACAGACAGAGAGACACAGACAGAGAGACACAGACAGAGAGACACAGAGACACAGAGTCACAGAGACAGAGAGACACAGAGACACAGACAGAGAGACAGAGACACAGACAGAGAGACACAGAGACACAGACAGAGACACAGAGACACAGACAGAGAGACAGAGACACAGACAGAGAGACACAGACAGAGAGACAGAGACACAGACAGAGAGACAGAGACACAGACAGAGACACAGACAGAGAGACACAGAGACACAGAGACACAGATACACAGATAGACACAGAGACAGATACACAGATAGACACAGAGACACAGAGACAGAGAGACACAGAGACACAGACAGAGACACAGACAGAGACACAGACAGAGACACAGACAGAGAGACACAGAGACACAGACAGAGAGACACAGAGACACAGACAGAGAGACACAGACACAGAGACACAGAGTCACAGAGACAGAGAGACACAGAGACACAGAGACACAGACAGAGAGACACAGACAGAGACACACACAGAGACACAGACAGAGAGACACAGAGACACAGACAGAGAGACACAGACAGAGAGACACAGAGACACAGACAGAGAGACACAGAGACACAGACAGAGAGACACAGAGACACAGACAGAGAGACACAGAGACACAGACAGAGACACAGAGACACAGACAGAGAGACACAGAGACACAGACAGAGACACAGAGACACAGACAGAGAGACACAGAGACACAGACAGAGAGACACAGAGACACAGACAGAGACAGAGACACAGACAGAGAGACACAGAGACACAGAGACACAGACAGAGAGACACAGAGACACACACAGAGACACAGACAGAGAGACACAGAGACACAGACAGAGAGACACAGAGACACAGACAGAGAGACACAGAGAGACAGACAGAGAGACACAGAGACACATACAGAGACACAGACAGAGACACAGACAGAGAGACACAGACAGACAGAGAGACACAGACAGAGAGACACAGAGACACAGACAGAGAGACACAGAGACACAGACAGAGAGACACAGAGACACAGACAGAGACAGAGACACAGACAGAGAGACACAGAGACACACACAGAGACACAGACAGAGAGACACAGAGACACAGACAGAGAGACACAGAGACACAGACAGAGAGACACAGAGAGACAGACAGAGAGACACAGAGACACAGACAGAGACACAGACACAGACAGAGAGACACAACAGAGGCACAGACAGAGACACAGAGACCAGACAGAGAGACACAGAGACACAGACAGAGACACAGAGACAAGACACAGAGACACAGAGACACAGACAGATGACACAGACAGGAGAGACACCTGACACAGACAGAGAGACACAGAGACACAGACACAGACAGAGAGACACAGACAGAGAGACACAGACACAGACAGAGAGACAGAGAGACACAGACAGAGAGACACAGACACAGACAGAGACACAGAGACACACACAGAGACACACACAGAGACACAGACAGAGAGACACAGACAGAGAGACACAGACAGAGAGACACAGACAGAGAGACACAGAGACACAGACAGAGAGACACAGAGTCACAGAGGACAGAGAGACCACAGACAGAGACACAGACAGAGAGACACAGACACGAACAGAGAGACACAGAGAGACACAGACAGAGAGACACAGAGAGACACAGACAGAGACACAGACATGAGACACAGACAGAGAGACACAGACAGACCCGAGAGACACAGACAGAGGAGACACAGAGACAACAAGACAGAGAGAGACACAGACAGAGACAGAGACACAGACAGAGAGACACAGACAGAGAGACACAGAGACACAGAGACACAGACAGAGAGACACAGAGACACAGACAGAGAGACACAGACAGAGACACAGACAGAGAGACACAGACAGAGAGACACAGAGACACAGACAGAGAGACACAGAGACACAGAGACACAGACAGAGAGACACAGAGACACAGACAGAGAGACACAGACAGAGACACAGACAGAGAGACACAGACAGAGACACAGACAGAGAGACACAGACACAGAGACAGAGACACAGACAGAGAGACACAGACACAGACAGAGAGACACAGACACAGACAGAGAGAAACAGAGACACAGACAGAGAGACACAGAGAGAGACACAGAGACACAGACAGAGACACAGACACAGAGACAGAGACACAGACACAGACAGAGAGACACAGAGACACAGACAGAGAGACACAGACAGAGACAGAGACACAGACAGAGAGACACAGACACAGACAGAGAGACAGACAGAGACACAGACAGAGAGACACAGACAGAGAGACACAGACACAGACACAGACAGAGACACAGACAGAGACACACACAGAGACACACACAGAGACACAGACAGAGAGACACAGACAGAGAGACACCGACAGAGAGACACAGACAGAGAGACACAGACAGAGAGACACAGAGACACAGAGACACAGAGACACAGACAGAGAGACACAGAGACACAGACAGAGAGAGACACAGACAGAGAGACACAGAGACACAGACAGAGAGACACAGAGACACAGACAGAGAGACACAGACAGAGACACAGAGACACAGACAGACACAGAGACACAGACAGAGAGACACAGACAGAGAGACACAGAGACAGAGACAGAGAGACACAGAGACACAGAGACACAGACACAGAGACACAGAGACACAGAGAGACACAGACAGAGAGACACAGACAGAGAGACACAGAGACAGAGAGACACAGAGACACAGAGACACAGAGACAGAGAGACACAGAGACAGAGACAGAGAGACACAGAGACCAGAGACAGAGACACAGAGACACAGACAGAGAGACACAGAGACAGAGAGACACAGAGACAGAGAGACACAGAGACACAGAGACACAGAGACACAGACAGAGAGACACAGACAGAGAGACACAGACAGAGAGACACAGAGACACAGAGTCACAGAGACAGAGAGACACAGAGACACAGACAGAGAGACAGAGACACAGACAGAGAGACACAGAGACACAGACAGAGACACAGAGACACAGACAGAGAGACAGAGACACAGACAGAGAGACACAGACAGAGAGACAGAGACACAGACAGAGACACAGACAGAGACACAGACAGAGAGACACAGAGACACAGAGACACAGAGTCACAGAGACACAGAGACACAGAGACACAGAGTCACAGAGACAGAGAGACACAGAGACACAGACAGAGAGACACAGAGACACAGACACAGACAGAGAGACACAGACAGAGACACAGACACAGACACAGACAGAGAGACACAGAGACACAGACAGAGAGACACAGAGACACAGACAGAGGGACACAGAGACACAGACAGAGACACAGAGACACAGACAGAGAGACACAGAGACACAGACAGAGACACAGACAGAGAGACACAGAGACACAGACAGAGAGACACAGAGAGACAGACAGAGACACAGACAGAGACACAGACAGAGAGACACAGACAGACAGAGAGACACAGACAGAGAGACACAGAGACACAGACAGAGAGACACAGACACAGACAGAGACACAGAGAGACACAGAGACACAGACAGAGACACAGACAGAGAGACACAGACACAGACACAGACAGAGAGACACAGAGACACAGACAGAGAGACACAGAGACACAGACAGAGAGACACAGACAGAGACACAGAGACACAGACAGAGAGACACAGAGACACAGACAGAGACACAGACAGAGAGACACAGAGACACAGACAGAGAGACACAGAGAGACAGACAGAGAGACACAGAGACACAGACAGAGACACAGACAGAGACACAGACAGAGAGACACAGACAGACAGAGAGACACAGACAGAGAGACACAGAGACACAGACAGAGAGACACAGAGACACAGACAGAGAGACACAGACAGAGACACAGACAGAGAGACACAGACACAGAGACACAGAGACACAGAGACACAGACAGAGACACAGACAGAGAGACACAGACACAGAGACACAGAGACACAGACAGACACAGAGACACAGAGAGACACAGAGACACAGACAGAGACACAGACAGACAGAGAGACACTAAGAGACAGAGACACAGAGACACAAACAGACAGAGAGACACAGACAGAGACACAGACAGACAGAGACACAGACAGACAGAGACACAGACAGAGAGACACAGACAGAACTCACAACATGGCTCCTGGGTTGTGCAGCACGGAGCTTCCAGCTGGCCTGTAGTTCTATAGAGATGAAACAATGAGTCCCCAGCTGTGAGAGGGTCAGATACAACACACAGTACAGAGATGCTGTCATGGTGCTGTTACCTTGGTGGTGTTGGGAGGCAGCACATGCAGCTGGTACACCGTCAGGCACAGTTTGCTCAGGTTGATGTAAAAGTTCACCATCACGTCCCCAGGCATGGGAGGGGTGAACATTTTCTGGAGATGGAGGACACACACAGAGGGTAAACACATGTTGTTTGGAGAGCTGTTGTAACTCTCCTGGTTTCTGTTCTTCCACCAGATTGTGGAACATGGCATCTGAAAGGTGTGGGTTCAGTCAGGACTCAACTTCTCCTACACCAAACTATGAAAACCCATATTTGAGCTTCATAATATGAATCCAAGCTGCTGTAAGAGGATAAGCAAAATGCCCCAACCAAAAGAAAAACACATATTTCTGTTTTCTCAATTACAAATACTCAATTTGGCCACAAGAGGTGTTCTCAATAGCCCTACCGTCATGTGTTAAGGGCTTTGGTAGTGACATGACACTATAGTCACATCACTTGCAATACATCTTCATTAGAATGAATTGAAATATGAATGTTTTAGTCCCAGTTGAAACACTGGCTAGTGATGCACGTCAACTTCTTGTGGCCAAAATGAGTACAACAACAACATAATTACCTTTTGTGCTTTATTCACAAACAAAAGATTATTTCAGACAGACTATCTTGGCAAATGTGTTTTATCTGCCTAGCGAAGCTTTTCTTTCACCTTGCACACAGGACAAAAGCTACTTAGTTCGGACTTTAACCAGGTATCTTCTTTTTGCACATCTCTGGCTTCCATACCAGGCCCCTGGAATGACATCTTTGTTAGCCTGATATATTCATCTTAACTTACAAAGGAAGGGAAATATCATATCTTAGATATCATTGTATGCTGCTAGAGCATTAAGATGTTCTCTTCATTGGAACTAAGTGACTCAGACTAAAACAAGATTTTTAAAGTTACAAGTTTGGTAAAAAAACAAACACATACAGGCTAATATATCCTCCATTATCACATTCTAACTGGAAGTGATTTCAGCTTCACTAACCCATAGTCAGTCTCAATATACTATACAATATACATACTCAATGTGTTAAAGTGTGTGTGTGTGTGTGTGTGTGTGTGTGTGTGTGTGTGTGTGTGTGTGTGTGTGTGTGTGTGTGTGTGTGTGTGTGTACCATCAGCCCGCTGGTGGCCAGCTCGGGCAGCGTCATGGAGGCGGGGGTGGTGAGGCGGTTGCGGGCTCTGGTCAGCTGCAGCATCACTGCGTCCATGAGCTGCGGCAGACACAGGAACAGGAAGTGAGCTCACTGACACAGCAAACAGTTAGCCATGGTCCAGGTTGCCATGAGAGACACACCTTATTGACCTCGGCCCCCGTCTTGAAGTGGTAGCTCTCGTCACGGCTGCCCAGGAGCCCCAGGGCCTGGTTCACGTGGTTCCTGGCATCCTGGATCTGAGGATCAGAGAGGAGAGGGAGAAATGTGAGGGATCAGTGAGGCATACAACAAAACATTCTATATTCAAAGTTAGAGAATGACACTCAGTGCATGGGCAGGCTGGGGGAGTAACGGGTGGAAAGGGATTACGTAATCAGGATACAAAAAAGAGGTAACTATTCCCTTACAGTTACATACAAATAAGAGCTAATCAGATTTCTGATACATTTCTAGAAAATGGGGATCAGTAGCATGATAACAGTGTTAGTGAAACCTAAACAGAGCATGTAGTGTTTGTTGTAAAGGATCAGATGTTCTCTCTTCTCTGTCAGCTGTACTGTTCTGTAGGATAATACTTTACGTGTGAATCTATACGCCTACTGCCTGAATCTGCTTTATGGTTTTCACTTTCTTTGCTTCATTTCTTCTGTTTTTCATTCAGCAGGTGAACCTATATGTTCATAACATAGTGTGTATTAAACTAAAACGGAGCATTTTCTGTCAGCTCAGATTGTATTCCTGCTTTTTGAAACTGTAGTATGTGCTCATGTGTTTCAGTGTTGGTGTTTAGGCTGCTGCCTGAACATGCTGAGTGACAGGCAGCTTTTCCTATAAATACAATTATTTTTAAATATCTTGGTTTCTTCTTTCCTAAGGTCACATTGTTCTGTTTTCTTACATTATGCAAAGTCAATTCATCGTATTGATATTTATTTTCTCTGGTCTTTATTTGCATTGCATTTGATATTGAGGTAATCCAAAAGTAACGGAAAGTAATCAGATTAAATTACTCTTATATTTTGATACTCAGATTAGGTTACTGATTACATTCTTCTACAGGTTGTTGGTAATTGTAACGGATTTCATTTTTAAGTAACCCTGCCAACCCTGTGCATGGGTGTCAGAACACTTACGAGCCTCTAAACTGTCAAATGAACTAGAACATTCAGAGAAATGTTGACTGTGTGACTGAAACTTGGGTGCGCATCCCGATGGATTCTTGTACCACATTCGTTTCTGAACATTTTTAGATCACCACTGGATTTAGTTAACGACCGACAGGTGTGTTGAAAGATCAAAGCTCCTCTCCCCTCTAGCCGTGATGTCACCAACACTAAGTCTTAACCAGCTCTCCCATACACACCCATTATAAAATGTGAAACAGTGTGACATTTTCACAAAACGTAAGCTGCGACTACGTGAGAACCGTACTAGCTATCAAAAAATATCCAAATAGTCCAATAAAGTCCATAGTCTTGAGAAGCGTATAAACTTGTAATTCTACGTTAGAGAATGTGGAATCTGTATGGGGTCAAAGTGGGGTGTTTTTGAGCTCTGTTCAAATGATGGATCATTCCGCACGTTTTGATGTGTTTTTTGTGTTTCGTGTCAACGCTGCCGGACAAGAAGCGTGACAAAATGTGTGGCGGAAGACGGAGAATAAGATGAAATAAGTATGTTGAATAATATACTGTGTGTGGCTTCGCCAGTCACACAGAAATACCAGCAGATTGCTGAACTGCTGTAATAACATCAAAGTTGAGCAAAAAGACATTGAAGGAATCCATGTGTATAGTTAATACCAACACTGTTGGAGACATTCATTTGAATGCTAATGTCGTTTTACACTATCTTTGTCAAATTGCACATTGACAAAAAAACACTCCTTATGAGAGAAAAGTAAAACCTCACAATCTATTCCCTGTGTTTCAGGGTTGTGTTGTGTGTGTGTTAGCATCACACACTCCACACCGTACCTGCTGCAGCTTCCACATTTTGTCCTCTCTGAACTGAAAGTGTAGCACTTGGCTGCTCTTTGCAACCTTCAGGTTTATGTCCTGTGAAGAAAGGAAAAACATTAACTACAGTCAATGAGTAACATGAGAGGAGTAAAGCCTGAGAAGCAGACACACTCACAGCCTGAGTCAGAGCCTCTCCCTGCAGAGTCAGCACCCCCTTCACCTGGTCCATGCTGCAAAACATCACACTCTGTTTCAACATCACCAGGAACTACAGGAAGACACATGATGTCAAACACATGATGTCAAGGGAAGGCTTTACTCGGGGTGTTTCTCAATGCCACTATTTCAAGCATACTACGTCATCGAGTGCCGCCGAAGGACTGTTCCAATGTCCAGCATACTTGGAATTCTACCGAGGCCGGCGTACTTCGTAGCGGGACATTTCGAGGCTGCACACGTGTAAACTCCACGGTCTTAAAATCCCCACAATGCTTTGCGCACGGACCTATTTCCATATCTTTGGCGGAAATTGCGCTCCATTTAAGGCGGGGCCTCGCATATGACGCACACCTGTTAGCCTGTTCCACCATTCTTCGTTTTCTGAGGCTCGGAAGGATTCTTGCCTCGCTTCTGAAGCAAGTGACTCGGAAGACATGTGCTACCAAGCAAGCGTCCTCGACATTGAGAAACACCCAGTGTGTGGAGGAGGGTACCTGATCTGAGGGATCACAACATGAAGGAAGTGATTTTTATTGTGACTATCTATTACCGAGAATATGACAGTCATTTCCTCCACAGGCATACATTATTATGTTAACACGGAGCCCCTAAAGGTTCATGGAACAAGAAAGTATATTGTGCACACAATATACTTTCTCGGTCGCACGAGAAAGTTACCGGTGCGCCAAGTAGGAAGTGGAGAGCACAGGAGACAACCGTTTCATTGCAGACTGTTATGTTTATGTGGGGAAATGGCAGTGCATACATTATTTTTACCTTCATTAGAACAGCTGAATAGAGATCGAGGCTGCTGCGTGCACGTACACACACACACACACACACACACACACACGACACACACAACCACGACACACACACACCACAAAACCACCCACACACACACACACACACTGACCACCACACCCACACACACACACACACACACACACATCACACACACACACCACCACACACACACACACACACCACACCCACCACACACACACACTGATCACACACACACCACACACCACACCACACCCCACACACACACACACACACACACACACACAGCTACACACACACACACACACACACACACAACACACACACCACACACACACACCCACACACACAACACACACACACACACACACACACACACACACACTACCACAGCACACACACACACACACACACACACACACACACCCACACACACACACACACACACACACACACACACACACACACACACACACACACCACACACACACACACACACAACACACACACACACACACACACACACCACACACACAGTGAGAAAGTATATCGTGCGAACGAGAAACTTATTTTTCCCCATGAACCTTTAGGGGCTCCGTATGTTAAAGACAGGACCTAGTTATTTCACTACGGACACACTATTGTATTTCATTCATCGTGTCCATAGTAAGCTGAGCTACACAGAGTATTACGTTGAGCTGCCGAGGATGAAGTTCTCCTGTTTTGAGCTGACTCTCCAGGCCTGGGGTGGGGCATGGAGAAACGTCGGGGAGGCCCTCCTGTTGGCAGAGCAGACTCACTGTTAGAAACATCACTGAGTTGTGGATTGGTGGTCTTTGAGTTGATAGATGTATCATTTCAGGTGTGGAAGAGCAGTTGGACAGACATGATGTTTCTGATCTTAACCTCTGGTGTCTAACTCAGTCACAAGTGTTAGACACCCACTGGAAACCCATCACAGCTAGGACTGGGTGAACGACTTTCACTGGTACCAGATGTTAATGTTTAGATCATCATATTTCAAACTGACACCAAGGCAGGATTTCTGATATCAATGTAAAGCTCAAACCTGATAAAGCCCCCCCAGAACCACAAAGAGCTGTTTGTAATAACTTAACATTACAAATAGACAGACCCCCACATGAAATGAATGGTAATCATTTGACCACATCACCAAGTTGTTGTATAAACACGTATATACATGAAGCTGTCCTTTTACCTTGAGGACGTCTTGGAGCTGCTTCAGGACAGCATGCACTTCTTCTTTCAGCAGCCAGTTGAACTCCTCCTCCTATTCAAAAGTCAAAAGAACTCATGCATACAAACGGAGGAATATGGAGTGGGACCACTTCAACAATAGATGGGCCAAAGCCTGTGCTCACAAATACCTTGGTATTACAGTCATTCATATCTATTTACGCCTGAGTTAACACAAGTACACTAAAACTGTGTATTTATTTTAAATGAATGTAAGTTAACAAATGTGTCATTGTCTCTAAGATAAAGAGATGCTTCTTTCTGATGATAAATGCTGTTGTTGAGCGCAAAACTATTCCATTCATTCTTCATTATGCTAATTTGTTCTGTTACAGTTTGGTTTGTGCATTCAGTTGATCTGATTGTTTGTACTGCAGACATAGTGCATATCTACTTAACCAATAAGAGACAATTAAGTATTAAGTATTTAATCTGTACTGATCCATTATTTATTGAATTAGGCTTTAAAGGTTCCTTTGTTAAAGCTCTCTCCATTGGTTAACACTAGGAACCTTTGAAAAGAGAAACATTCTTTGACAACATCAAACCCATTCACAAAACTCATGCCAATTTTTGATGATTATCACTATGCTTTAGATGTATTCATTGGCCAGTCAGTTCCTGAAGGATCAACTGGTTTTTATTTGCAGATATAACGTCCCACTGAGGCGCACTACATCTGTACAATCTGCTTTCTCTTTTATGGCCATCAAACTTTGTAATCTGCTTCCAGCTGATCTTAAAACCTGAACAAATGTTCACTCTTTTTCCCATTGATTTTGGGCAATCAGTTTTGCCAGCATTAATTTGACTAGAATTTGAGGTATTAGTTTATTTGTAATTGTAACATTATAGTTGTATGTGCTGGTATTTATATAATAATCAGCTGTATTTTTATATGTTTGAATTGTTAGTGTGATAGTCATGTTTTAGTGTTTGTTGATTGGTTAGTGTGTACCTGCCCAGGGACTGCAGATGGAAATCAGCTTTATCTATAATCTGGCATATAGCATGTCTTCTCTTTGTGATATTTATGGATTTGTATGCATGGTCCTTGTTGAATAAAGACTCAACCCTGTAGTTACAGAAGGGTTGAGTCTCAGCTCAAAGCTTACCGAGCAGCTGAGCTCCGTTGGTTATCAGTAAGATAATAATGTTTATATGTTACAGAGTGTAGAAGACCTGTACAGAGATGGTGACAACAGAGAAACAGGCCCACTGTCACAGCATCACTAAAGACAGCACCTGTATGGAGGATGCTACACTCCCTCTCGGCTAGCAGCAGCTACATTACTCACATTTAGACAGTATCTACATTCCTTTAAAATATCACTTCAAAATGCCAACACATTTGGTATTTACGGACGGGCTGTCAGTAAAGCAGCCTAATAGACACAAGCAGCAGTCTGTCCCCGCGGAGCCGCGGAGCTAACACTCACCAGCACCGCTCTCTCCACCTGGCTGGCGGCCGACATCTTGGGCAGCTCGGACAGAGACCTCTGCGGGTTCAGCATGTTGTACAGAACCAGGATAACACTCGTTTTACACCTTCAAAACAATGTCCTCTCCCTGAGATGAAGGTCTCTCACTCCCTACGAGATTAGCAGAGGATGAGTTGCCTTCGGGTACTGTCGGAAATAACGCGAGCGCTAACACAAGCGACCAAAAACAGCGGCAAATACAGTTGTAAAGATGACCCTTTCGAGCTTGGTTTTGTCTCTAACATAATGGTCCTGCTGGGAAATTAATCCTCTGCAATGCATCTTTACAGGTAATATTGTATTAATTCGTTAACAGCTGTTAAACCACACTGTTAAATAGTGTTTTCTTTCTTAAACATTTCAAACAAAGAACTGAACATTGGTTTATTTTTGCTGTTGTGTTATAGTTCTCCTATTCATTACGTCACTGTGCAAAAATCAGTCGCATGCTGCTTGTCATTTTCAGAGACATCCAAAATCACAGATATTTGTCCTGACTGATGCCTTTTTTGTTCTGAGGAGAAAATGTATTGCTCTTTACGAGGACCACGTGAAAGCAGCATTAAAGGGTCACACATTCACCATTAGACTGGCCCCGCCCACCAGTCAGGCTCTGAAAACCAGGCTGCAGTCGAATAGAGTGGCGAAGTCCCTCCCCTTCCGGTGGACCTCCATGGGACCTTATTTCGGAAAAATTATGTATTGAAGTCAATGGAGAGAGAAAGATTATCTTTCGATCCCGTTTGAATTGTGCCACGAATTACACATATGATGTTTGTCAATTTAAAAGATAATTTTGCAAGTCAAAAAAAAAAAATGTGTCGTAAAACTGTGAAGTAACACATTTGTTTGTGTGAAACGCTCAATGAACTACATCTCTGGTCTCACAGAACAACACACGTCACCAAGATGGCCGTCACTACTGTCTTGTCAACAAAACGATTGACTTCCCTCACTATCACCACAATGAAACACGTCCTGAAGAAAGTCATGCAAAGCTGCCTGCCTGCCTTCCTTTGATTCTCTCTGAACTGCCTGGTCTTTTTAATGTTTAATGTCAACCATTTGTGCAGATAGCATGAAGTAGAGAAGATCGCTAGCGTTAGCATTTCTCCCCCGGGCTTAAATGGTGTATTATAGAATGATCACACCGGTGTGACAGTACTCAAAGGGTTCACGAAATATGACTACTACTCTTACTGTTTAACATTTTGGGTTACTTAATGTTACTTCATGTTAAGGCTAATACAAATGACAAGGCTGTAATGCTAACTAACGTGCTAGCTACTAGCTAGCTTGATCCAGACACTCCTGGTCCTTTCATCAGACGGGAAGCGAAAGAACGAGCAAGACCCATTGCTGGTATGATAACAACCTGGTACTAAGCACACAGGCATCTTGTTAAAGTTATCTTATCTTAGCCAGCGCCATATAGATAGATTCTATCTATATGGCGTTATCTTATCTTAGCTATCTCTATTTTAGTGGAGGAAAACAATTGTGACATCACTTACGCGACTCTGGGATTTGTAGTCTTTCTAGTTGCGTATTTTTCATAGTCTTATATTTCAACAGTTTTACGACAAACTGTGACTTTTTTGACATGGAAATTATTTTTTAAGATTGACAAACATCATATGTGTAATTCATGGCACAATTCAAACGGGATCGAAAGATACGTTTTCTCTCTCCATTGACTTCAATACATTATTTTTCAGAAATAAGGTCCCATGGGGCGGAAGTAGATGGGCGTGACTTCGCCACTCTATAGTCCATTTAGCTTAGGAACCTTCCTAACCGAGTGAAATGACCCGGAAGTCCCTCAGTGGCAGCCATGATAAGTGCCGTTCGAATTCTCTAGATCAGTGGTTCTCAAATGGGGGTACGCGGACCCCTAGGGGTACGTTGGAGTACTGCAGGGGTTACGTGAGATTTATTTTATGTTAATGAAAGAAAAAATATGTGTAACAGAGTTACACACATTTCAAAAGCGAAGTGTAATAACTGCAGTGGCTTTCCTATCACTGAGAATAACAAAGATCCTCAGTGAAGCACAAGCCCATGTTTCTCACTAAATTGTAAGTACAACTTATTAAAAAGATCAGTTCAATGCAACTAATGTCGTCTCAGTGTTATTGCATGATGTTACAATTGGTTTGCCATGAATTTAGTGATGGATTGTAAACATTTGAAATGTAGCATTTAAGTGTTTCTCAGTTACAAGGTTGTTGTTTTAATAAATCAGACACTGATGGTGCAAGGCTGTACTGTACTTCTTTATATAGGCATTTTTTCCCTAACAAATTGTTTTTGCGCCGATCAGGGGGTACTTGGCTGAATTTTTTTTTCAAAGGGGGTACATTATTGAAAAAAGTTTGAGAAGCACTGCTCTAGATGCGCTGAAATTCATTTCCGGGTCACTACCGGAGGACCGAGGATTCGAGGATTCGAGGAGCGAGTATCTGAGGATTTCATCGGAGGATGGTCTGGTGGTTCCTCGGTTATCGCTCCTCCATTATCGATCCTCTGTCCTCCGGCACAAATAAGAGCCATGGGATGCTACTCAAGATGGCGCAGACAAATCAACTTCCGGTGACACTGACGACCGACGACCGAGGAAATGAAAATAGTCGACCTGAGACGCAGCCCGAGGATCGAGCGTCGAGGAGGCTCTCTGGAGGAGCTATAACCGAGGATACACTGATGGGTCCTCCACGGCTCCTCCGTGGATGCATTTCCGACAACAGAGATGTTTCAAAGAGTCGTGACCATAGACTGTATAGAGTGGCGAAGTCCCTCCCCTTCCGGTGGACCTCCATGGGACCTTATTTCGGAAAAATTATGTATTGAAGTCAATGGAGAGAGAAAGATTATCTTTCGATCCCGTTTGAATTGTGCCACGAATTACACATATGATGTTTGTCAATTTAAAAGATAATTTTGCAAGTCAAAAAAAAAAAATGTGTCGTAAAACTGTGAAGTAACACATTTGTTTGTGTGAAACGCTCAATGAACTACATCTCTGGTCAACAACACACGTCACCAAGATGGCCGTCACTACTGTCTTGTCAACAAAACGATTGACTACCCTCACTATCACCACAATGAAACACGTCCAGAAGAATGTCATGCAAAGCTGCCTGCCTGCCTTCCTTTGATTCTCTCTGAACTGCCTGGTCGTTTTAATGTTTAATGTCAACCATTTGTGCAGATAGCATGAAGTAGAAAAGATCGCTAGCGTTAGCGTTAGCATTTCTCCCCCGGGCTTAAATTGTGTATTATACCACACCGGTGACAGTACCGGTGACCACACCGGTGACAGTACTCTTCAAAGGGTTCACGAAATATGACTACTACTCTTACTGTTTAACATTTTGGGTTACTTAATGTTACTTCATGTTAAGGCTAATAAAAATGACAAGGCTGTAATGCTAACTAACGTGCTAGCTACTAGCTAGGTAGCTAACTTGATCAAGCCACTCCTGGTCCTTTCATCAGACGGGAAGCAAAATAACGAGTAAGACCCATTGCTTGTATGATAACAACCTGGTACAAAGCACACAGGCATCTTGTTAAAGTTATCTTATCTTAGCCAGCGCCATATAGATAGATTCTATCTATATGGCGTTATCTTATCTTAGCTATCTCTATTTTAGTGGAGGAAAACAATTGTGACATCACTTACGCGACTCTGGGATTTGTAGTCTTTCTAGTTGCGTATTTTTCATAGTCTTATATTTCAACAGTTTTACGACAAACTGTGACTTTTTTGACATGGAAATTATTTTTTAAGATTGACAAACATCATATGTGTAATTCATGGCACAATTCAAACGGGATCGAAAGATACGTTTTCTCTCTCCATTGACTTCAATACATTATTTTTCCGAAATAAGGTCCCATGGACCGGAAGTAGATGGGCGTGACTTCGCCACTCTATATATAAAGGTCGTGACGCACGGCCGGACTGATCTCAGCCAATGACAGCTCTGCATGCATCCCCTGGATATTATTTTATTAACTGCTTTCATCGCGACGCGATGTTTACAGAGAGAACAGCTGTGAGGTCCGTGCAGAAAGCAGAGCAGTGTGTAAAATATATATCACTCAGTATAACAGGCCTACTCTCTTTATTTGTTTTAGTTTAGTAGATATCTACAAACAAAGAGTCCATATTTTTCTAAAACCATTTAGTGCTTCACATAATAAAATACACAACGGCTGTAGCCTGATTATGCTTTAGGAGCTGTAGGTGCGTGTGGTACAGTGTGTAGGTGTGTGTGGTACAGTGTGTAGGTGTGTGTGGTACAGTGTGTAGGTGTGTGTGGTACAGTGTGTAGGTGTGTGTGGTACAGTGTGTAGGTGTGTGTGGTACAGTGTGTGCGTAGATGCAGCGGACAGACAGGTCTCAGTTGGTTTGGTGTCCTCTGCTTACGTTTAATACTTGTAAATAAAACTTTTGACGCGTAATTTATTAGTCAATAGTCAATGGGTGCTATTCCACCACACGCGGCGCGTTACGGCTCAGAAGCGTCCCAGAAGCGGCTCGGCGCAGGGCTCCTCTAAAATTAGGATCGAATCCTATTTTTGTCGCGGCGCAGCCGTAACGTAATGCTGCGTTCACACCGGACGCGATGCGAATATTCGCTTCGCTCTAATCGCTCCTATCGCATCGCTCTAAACGCTGGAGTTTCACCGCGGCTGCCAGCTGTGTTTACTCGCATCATTCAAACAAGACGCGCTGGCTCGGGAGCTACAACTACAACAAAATGAACATATTTTACCGTGATTAAATTGTAATACACGTTTATAAATGATGCCGAAGTAACAACATACTGATACCGGTTAGTAACAACCATGAATTAATGCTTTGACAAGTCTGCAGACAAGACGGCAGGCAAAACACCTTTTAAAATGCTTGTTTTCTGAATGAAGATCGGGTCGACCAGGCTAAGCTAACGTTGTATATGCTCATTCCACACTCATAACAACGGCCGACAGACATAAATAAACCAGCGACTGTATTCGCCATGGCACAGACAGTCTGTGGTTTGTACTTGTTTAACTTTTGTCCAGTTTCTGAACAGATATGAGGAGCTGTGAGCTCTGTGTGCTAACTGCTAACAGCTAACGGCTGATGTTGTGTGGTTGAACGTCAGTGACGGCGGCTGAGATCCTCACCGCTGATTGGCTTCCGCGAGAATGTGTCACGTGAATTTGACGCTCTAGTTGAAAAAATTGAACTCTCGCGTTTAACGCGGCACCGTTCAATCGCCTCAATCGCGTGATTCGCGCCGCGTCCACCGCTTCATGCGCGCCGTCGGAGCGAATTCGCGTCTGTCCGCGTCTCTGCATTGACTTTACATGTAATCGCGCCGCCCCCAAACATCGCATCGCGTCCGGTGTGAACGCAGCATAAGGTCGGGCAGGCAGGAAGTGGAACGTTCAGAGCATATATAGCATATATATATAGATATATACACACACACAAACTAATTTTGCAGACCCTATCCCTCCGTAGTCTTTCAAGTAGGAGGAGAAATGCCAGCGTTCTCCTCCGGTTTACAGGCACTGTGTAAATTATATATATAGAATAATTATGATGATGAATGCATTTTTTTACCACTAAAATAGAGCAACACATCTTTGATTCATGTCGTTTATAACTGGAATATTACAGTTATTATTAACTTTGTCTGTACAAAGTAGCCTGTCCAGGAAATATGCCCAAATCAACAAAAACTGCGAGCCGGCAGGCAAGACGCTCCGCTTCTGAAATGCTTCTGAAACGCGCCTGGTAGGGTATGACGCCGGAGGAGGCCGGACCAAAACTGCAACGCGGCGCAGACGGACCCGGTGGAATCTAGGGGTTATAGTTGTAATCTCACGTGACCAGAAATTATGCAAGCTCCTCCCATTTCTCATTGTGGTCTGGTAAGTAAACATTTTTACAAAAAAACGTGTTTTGCTTGTCAAAGTACATTTTCTAGATGTCAGCTATATCGGCTGTCATGTCAAAAAAATATATATCCAGGTTTAAACAAATATATTGTATATGTTGATGTGTTGGCAGCGTATTAAACCATGTGAGTCATTAAGCTAAAGATGACTCTGAATTTTAATGCTGGGCTATTTTTTCTAAAATGGTGGCTATGGGGTAAAGTGAACCATGGGCCTTGGGGTAAATTGAGCCAGTTTTTCAATGGAGAAATGAATGAAAGTAGGCCAAGTTGACAATAACAGCTCATTGTAGGCTACATTTAAAGTTGAATTTACCCTGTGTTTGATTGGTAAGATGTATGAAATTGTATCACCATTTGTATGATTAATTTTCCTTTTAACATGTTAAAAGAAAATCAATCAATTCAATCGAAATGTATATTAAAAATATTTGAAAAACTAAACTTGTATTTGGTTTGTTATTTATTGTTTAAAGTTACCTTTAAGATTTGTTGTAGGTATGCCCAGGTTTGAACAGTGGTTCAATTTACCCCCTGACCTGGATCAATTTACCCCTAACCCAGGGCAAGTTGAGCCACAAGACCACTTTTTTTTAGAAGTAATATTTTCACTGCCCTTGATCAAATATTAATTCTTATCATTGCCATTGATAGGAGACATCCTGAATTATAGGTGTGTGCTTTCATTTTTACTATGTGTAATTTCTCCTTGCTTAGAGGACAGCATAACTAAAAAATGGCTCAACTTACCCCACTCTCCCCTATGTGAAATTGGTCCAAACTGACCAACTACAATACTAAATGCTTTGACCTGTATAAAAACAGGATAATACAGTAACCATAATAATTAATAGAGTACTGTCACTGTTGATACTTGAAGAACATTTAGCTGATAATACTTCTGTTCTTTATATTATTCTTAAATGGACCATTAATATTTTTATTTTTTGTACTTTAAGTACTTTTTTATGCTATTACTTTTGTATCTTTACTTGAGTAGAGTTTTGAAATCACGACTTGTACCGTTAGTGGAGTATTTTAAGATCATAGTATTTGTACTTTTACTCAAGTAAAGGACCTCAGGTCTTGTGAGAGGCCTAATCTTTAGTGGTGGATGGGAAATGGAGGCTCAAGCCTCAAGGGTGTGGATCTTCCAAAGTCAACATTTCTGAAGTTGGCCTTATATGATTCTATACCTTTACCTCCGGTGTATTATTCAGTAAGAAGTGTTAGACATCTACCGGCAATCCATAACAGCTAAAACAGAGTGAATGCAAAATCAATGATTGACTTTCATTGGTCTTCTACCATGACATGTTTATTTTCCTCTGTGCTATAGAGCTTGATTTTTGAACAAAAACTATTACAAAACAAATGAATGTTGCACTTGGTGACATATTGCTTTATCAACAGTGCACCCAGCCTGTGTTATTAACTTCATTTTATACTTACTAGTTACTGCCTCTTCAAAAATTCTGATCCCCAAAATGTTAATTGTTTCCTTTAACAATTGGGGAGGAAAACACAAGTGTCCGCTGCAGGTGTTTTTGTAAAGGTTTTGAGCTTTAAAGAATGTGCTGTGTCTGACTCGTTATTTGGACTTTTAACAGGAAACATTGAGCTTGGGGCTGAGAGCTACAGATAAGATAGGACAGTTACACAAATATCAAGTGCACTCTCAATACGTTTTGTCTATCAGAGATCAGACTAAATAGGATGGGAAACTAGCTGCATTTCAATTGCATTTTCTATTGTATTTGTGTGACAATTTAACTAGGAATCAGTCATTAAACACAAAGACATGTCAGTAATCAGGAGATCATTTATTAAACAGCACAAAAGTCTTGATACTTCCACATGTACACAAAATGATAAATATCCCCCGAAACCAAAGGTACACCCTCCTTCCTTTAACGGGATCCAAGTCATTGTTATTTAAATGCCATAAACCAGATTATATAAACCACACAATAACCAATTTACACTTGAACTGAACGATCTACGGTATTAAGACACAAATATTTTAGACTGCAGTCAAAAGCAAAAGTAGTATTCCCGGTTATTGTAGATATAAAAGAAAGCCTACTCAACCTAATGTGCTATTTACATCCGTCTTCTAAAAACTCATCTTTACACTCCAGTGTAGAAAGGGCATTTCAATCTAAAAGCTTTAGCATTTCTTTGACAAATAAAACTGGAGCACATGCATTGTTTTATGAAAAACTCATTTATGTACGTTTAACTGATGAAAACTGTGGGCTCTAAAGAAACTAAACACAATGAGCTCTTACAGGTTTTGATGGGGCACGCTTTCCTGTGTCTTCATATCATACTGCATCATGGGTAAAAGTGGCTTGCTGCCATGTTTAACTCACATCCCAGAAGGTGACAAGACAGTGGGGTTGAGCTCCTTATGAGAATATATTCCATGTTTCTTTTGCATATGTAGGACATTAACATCTGCATTAGTTTGGGTGTGATGTAGGACATTAACATCTGCATTAGTTTGGGTGTGATGTAGGACATTAACATCTGCATTAGTTTGGGTGTGATGTAGGACATTAACATCTGCATTAGTTTGGGTGTGATGTAGGACATTAACATCTGCATTAGTTTGGGTGTGATGTAGGACATTAACATCTGCATTAGTTTGGGTGTGATGTAGGACATTAACATCTGCATTAGTTTGGGTGTGATGTAGGACATTAACATCTGCATTAGTTTGGGTGTGATGTAGGACATTAACATCTGCATTAGTTTGGGTGTGATGTAGGACATTAACATCTGCATTAGTTTGGGTGTGATGTAGGACATTAACATCTGCATTAGTTTGGGTGTGATGTAGGACATTAACATCTGCATTAGTTTGGGTGTGATGTAGGTCTTCAGGTCGAAAATGGTTGACAAAATGCTAAATGGAACTTCATTGGACAGGACACTTTACTGCGCAGCACAGATGATTATAAATCCAAATGGATAAGGGCATTATATATTGACGCAGATAACTGAGAACCACAGTAACAAAACTTGACCCGTCTAACATAATTATACTCAACATAAACTAGACACAAGTAGATCCCTACTAGATATAGAATGTTTGAAGCAGAAAACCACAAGAACATTTGAGTTATCAGAAAATGAGTTTTTGAAGGAGTATTTAATATATGTATGGAGCAGGAACATTTACAGTGTAAAACAAACTATGTAATGGACACACTGTTTGAGTGTGAACTTGTGAAGACCTCCACTACACAGTCAAGACCGTCCTTGTCATGTGACCATCTGCCCCCCCCCTTCATTAACCTGAATCCTGTTGCGGGCAATGTAAGAAATAAATAATAAAAAAGGAATCCATTGATTGTTACGTTTCCATATCTATGAGCTCAAGTCTGTGTGTGTGTGTGTTGGGTTTTGACTGCTGTAATGGTTTATCAATATAACATCTGTGGAGGTGAGTAGGTTGAAAGGAAGCTGTCCGACCACCGGACAACTTCAAAATGTTTAGTTTATAATTGAATACTGTCCAATGATAGTCTAAAGTTGGCTTATGAAACCCAGCCACCATTTAAAGCTCCAATGAGCAGATCAAAAGACGATTGAAATGGGGGCATATTATCTCCTTTCGTTAAAAAGCAACTCAAAAAGTAGACTTTATCTAGTTTCAGAGTAATCATTTAAAAAAAGAAAAAAGTGTAAATGAGAACTCTTCCCAAACGTTAGAACAAAGGGTTTCAAATATAGAAATCTCAAGATCAGATTTATCAATAATTACTGCATTTTAAGGCCCCAACACTTCGGTTGCTCTGTCCTTAAACTGTTCAAGATCATAAACACTAACGTAAATGCATAAATCATCTCTTCAAATATAGAACCAAGCAATGGCCAATCTGCACCAAGCAGACCTAGAAAGAAACATAAATAAATACTAACGTTGAAAGACTTGAGGGGTTACACAATATTAAGGCAACGCAGTGGCATGTTCTTGGTGTTTTCTCTCATGGAATTCAGGACATTTCAAAGAAAAGCAAAAAGCAAATATCACACTCAATTAAATATACTCATTTTCGCATGAACGAAAAAAGAATCTTCTTTAGGGCGATCCATCCAGGAAACCATGACTTCTATTTCAGCTGTCAGAAACTAGACAAAGCAACTGCAGTAGTACAAGCTCTCACAGCAATTATACCCCAGTACAGTCAGTGCAATGCTCAAGGCCCCCCAACTAAGGAATAACAATCCCCTCAATTGTGGGCGCTAACATGGCGGCTGCTGTGGCAAAATGAAGTCAAATAACTAGAATTTAAAATGAAATAAGAAATGCATTACTCGACAAGGGAGAAAGAAGAAGGATTGAAGACGGTGGGCCGGATCCCAACCAGCTCAGTGGATGTAGGCTCTGTACACAGCAGAGATATCGTTGTCTGACTGGTCCAGTGCCTTGGCCCTCTTGTAGACCTGCAGGGGAACAGCAGGGAACACAAGCTCACTCATTGCATTTGTTATTCAAGCAAAGTCTTCCAAAGTCTTATCTTGTCAAAACAACTGGGCCAATTAAGCGACCTTGGGTCCCTTGAAAGGCGCTATATAAATCCAAGCTATTATTATTATTATTATTAATATCTAAACACAGAAGTCCTCACATTGAGCAAATGTTTTGCTTAAAAATGGTTGGAACCCTGATAGAAGGCATTACACTGACGACAGCGGGGAGTGTTACCTCATTGGCTGCAGCGGCCATGGGGGTGGGATGGTTGGCCGTGTCACCCATGGAGATGGCTAACCTCAGGTCCTTCTGAATGTGTTTCAAATAGTAGTCCGGCTTAAAGTTGCCCTGTAAAATATCTGGATGATATAGAAAGAAAAGGTTTTATTGGCCCGAATTCAAACATATACACATTTTTTTAATAGCAGGGTATACGCAGGAATCCTGAAGTCAAATGTAATACCTTTTAAGACCTTTTTTAAGACCCTTTCCATACATTTTAAGACCTCATCGCAACTTCGAGTTCTAACCGGTTACATTGGCGACACTTTACCTCACATTGACTATATACAGTATTGATTGTAAGATAGCACAACTAAACAGTTTGTGATAACTCCTTATCATAAATGAATTGTGTGACCAACCCAATGCATTGATTTAGGCATTGTTCCCAAGAGTGCAGACAGACTACTGAAGCCTCCTCTCCACATGAACTTCAACCTCTCTGTCAAGGTCAGGTTTAATGCAGTATGCTGCTTTTTTGCTTCTGTAGACTTTGTGCTCTTTCATTCCAGTAAAACTCCTCAGAAACCATTAGAAACCAGTATTTGACCAATAAACAAAACAATTGACAAAACTTTGAAATATATTAAACTTATAGTGAGCTTCAGCGGGGTAATGCCATATAGGAGCTCCCTCACAAATACCCAGGGGTTAAATTGGGCCGGGCACAGGACGATGCTCTGACGTCATCACCCTCGCACATTTGTCATATGTTTACAAAAAACGATATATGTTAAGACTTTTCTCGTTCTTAATATAGACTATATTTATAGTAATACTTTTTAATAGCCTTAATTTTCGCTAAATTGATTTATCAACTTTTAATACTTTTTAAGACCCCGCGGACACCCTGAATAGGGAATATGAAACCTGTTTTTATTGCCACACCCTTTTTACAATGTACGATGCCTTTAACGAGGGACATACAGGAAATAAAACACAACCAGTGAGCAGTGTTCAGGCGATTCAGTTGAGAAATATCCTGTGTGAGCACATACTTTGGCATTTCTGGTCCACAAAGGTGCTTGCCATCTGGCCCTGGCTCAGGATGTCCAGGAAGGTCTGCTGTGATTGGCCGGTGGCATGGGCCAGGGTCAGCCCTTCTGCAATGGTGGCCATGAAGCTGCCCTGCACCATGTTGAGGATCAGCATCATCCTCGCTGCATTACCGGCTTCCCCTGGAAACACAAACAAGCATTTGGAAACACATAAGATGTGTCTCCACACTGAAGTGACAATCATCCTCAGCGCGTCTACGCCTGGAAGATGCTCTTCAATCATGTTGGGTTGCCACATGGAAGAGAACCTGCAGAAAAAAACCTACAAATTAATGCACACAAAATGTGTTCATCTGACAGCATCGGGTAGATCATTGTGTGACAGAAACCAGACAGACACAAGGTCATTCCCTGACCTGTTATCAGCTTACAATCTACCCACACTTTCATATTGGACATACTTGAATCACTCATTTTATCTTGCAGTTGGATTTAAAGATTAGCTGCGTTCACACCGCAGTACTTTTCCCACTTTAGTTCCGATATAGTTCCGAAATGTCGCGTTCACACCAAAAAGAGCCGGAACTAAAATTAGTTCATGAGAACCTTTTTACCCCCTTTTCCGTCCCTGCTAGAGAGAAGGGACTTTCGTGGGAGGAAAAGGTTCCTATGTCTGATTGGCTGGGCGGAATGCAAACCACGCCCCGTAAAAATCCCAAAAAGTTTTGTGAAGCCGCCATTTTATTATCCTCGCATTAGCATTATTAGCATTAGCCCAGCGCAGAAACGCAGAGAGACTAACTTATGGCAACACAAAAGAAAACATGGGAGCGGTGGAGATGAGGAGGTGTCGGCATTCTGGCGATTTACTCGGTCCCCAACTCCGGGGACTTCCGGCCGGGGACTTCGGGTGGCAGTATACGCCGTGAACTTGTTTGCGGCCTGCCAGTAAGCCCAAAGCAGAAGAAGAAGTGACGTTAGCGGCTTCATTTGCCTAATCCTCCCTCAGGGACTTATTCCGGTGTGAATGCGATCTGTATATTCGATCTGTAGTTCTCATGAACCTTTGTGGGAAAAGTACTGCGGTGTGAATGCGCCTGTTGTTACCAATATGTATCTGAAGCTAGCAACGGTTTAGCTTGGTGCAGAGGCTGGAAGCTTTTCTGGCTCCGTCTGCAGTTCATGGATCCCCCTACCAGCTGTTCTAAATAATAACACGTTTCAATTCCTACCAAGATGTAGTGCTAGTATAAAATAACTAGGGATGGGAATTTGAAAGCAAATGTATATTCGAATATTCGACCCCCAAAAAAACGGTTAACCAATTAACCGAAATGTACATATAAAAAATAAATTAAAAAAAAAGTGGAATCTTTTTTACAAAAAAATAATAATTAAAAAAAATAAATAAACACATGCTCAAATAAGTATAGAAACCAAGTCGAATTTGTCAAATGTATTGAACTGGTGATCACAGTTTGAACAGTTGACAGCTATAGGCCTACAGCTTTCATGCTTAAAACATAACTTGGTTTTTAAGGGGCCATTTACACGAGAACGAAACGGCTTGTATCTGCATAGTTTCTCTTGCATAGTTGCTCGCTGCAAAAGTTGAGCAATGTTCAACTTTTGAAGCTTCGGCGGAAGCGTCAGCCAATCGAATCATATGCCAGTACAAGCTCTAAACCGCGTGCTTGTGTGTCCGGGGCGGGAGATTCATGTGATTGGTTGTTGGTCGAGTTTCAGCCCCCCCCAGCCGGCAAGCTTCAACGCACGCCGCCGTGTGGACGGGCCGTGAGGGACCGGTGAGCGGAGCAAAACACACCTTTAGACCTAACACACTTAGCTGTGGCACTGTCGTATACATTGAATTATTCCATTTGATAATATGTAATCAACTTAGGCACCCCTCCCAAAAAAAAAAAAAAAAAAAGATAATAATAAAAATATTCATAACTCATATTCTCATATTTGAATACCTGAATAATTTCAAATATTCCATTAATCGTTCCTATCCCTACAAATAACCAGTCAGTTTTATTGAATGTGATGTATCAGGCTTGTCTTGTTAATGACCAATAACTCACTGAAGTCTCTGTTGGTTGCTTGGCAACTGCACAGAGCCAAGAAATGTCCAAGAAGTGGTTTGTGTTCTATGTTAAAACTATTGTGAGAGTCTCCAACAGTAAACCCAGAGCCTGTGTCTCTCTGGTGCGTACCCAGGAAGAAGGAGGTCTTGCCCATGGCTTGGAAGCAGCTGCTGCAGTCCTCGTACACCGTCCTGTCCCCCGCCGCCAGGATGACCAGCATCCCATCGTTGGAGAGCTGCTGGCTTCCTGCCACCGGAGCCTCCAGGAACCGGCCGCCCCGCGATGTGATCACCTTACAGTCAAACAGCAGAGAACTCTTTAATACACAAATACTTACACTACACCAATGACGATAACTGATACTACTTTATACAAATGAGATGGAGAAGATAAGCCACTGTGACTGCTTGGAAAGGTTCCTGATGGTAGATAGTGCAGGATGTTTCAAGATTCAAAGGCTTTATTATCATATGCACAGTAGCTACAGTGTAGATACGGCAATGAAAAACGTAAGTACCAAGCTCCTCCAATAATGTCACATAAGATAGGACATAAAACAATAAAACAGAAAACAAAAAATAGCGCAAGAAGAAAAATAGTAGAACAGGGTAGAATAATGTGCAAGTCTGGGTGCTCAGGGTGCTGGCGTTGTTTGTTCGACGCTCCTCTGCCCTCCGCTCTCAATGAACTGGCCCCCACTCTCAATGAACTGGCCCCCACAAAAACTAAAAGTGTCTCTTTCATACACTCTGCCCCCTGGTATACCCCGAACTCTGCCAAATGAAATCAAGGAAACGTCAACTGGAACGCCAACACAAGAAAACCACACTAACAGTCCATCTACAAAGACTATCTCCAGCAGTACAGTAACGCACTCAAAGCAGCCCGGTCTAATTACTACTCACAACTCATTCAGTCTGGCTCCAGCAACCCCACGCGTCTGTTCTCCACCATCAGCAAACTTCTCAAACCCTGTGACAACGCCACCTCATCCTTCACCACCGAACAGTGAAACTACTTCCTCTCGTTTTTCCAAACCAAAATCAGCTACATTTACAGCAATCCGACACCCTCATCAGCACCCCCCCCTTCACCCTCACAGCCCCTGTCCCACTTCTCCCCTGTGACCCCCATGCAACTGTCCCACTTCATGACTGGAATTAACTCCACCTGCACACTTGACCCAATGCCCTCCACATTTGTTAAAGAGAGCCTCCCTGCCATCTCCCAACTCATCGCCACCATCATTAACTCCTCCCTCAGATCTGGATCAGTTCCCCCCTCTCTCAAACTGGCTGCTGTCACACCCATTCTCAAAAGACCTGGGCTGAAGTCGAATAGTCCATTTAGCTTAGGAACCTTCCTAACGGAGTGAAATGACCCGGAAGTCCCTCAGTGGCAGCCATGATAAGTGCCGTTCGAATTCTCTAGATGAAAGGAAAGGAGGTTTCAAACTTCCTTTATAACCTCCTTTTTTATTTCAATTCCAACTTTGGTCATGAAGAATATGTTTCTCTGTTGTCCACGTTCATAAAGCATAAAACAACAGCATCAGAGCACGGTGCAGAGTCTCGAGATGAGTTTACTACTGTAAACTCATCTAGAACTACTGTCCGTCGTTCTTATTAAACATCCATGTTGTAGTCCGCTGTATAGAAAACTGTAGTTTCCATAGTTTCCCCACAGCAGCAGACGCACATTTATGACGTCCGCTGGCGCATCATAAACACGTGGGATAGTGAAAGTGCAGTCGGATTCTCTAAAGCACCGCAGTCTCTTCTCCTAAATCCTTTTGAATTCTCCTATCCACTATCCCTTAACCCCGTGACCTTTCACTCAGAGGTCAAGGGATAGACGATAGGGTTAGAATTTAGGAGCTGATTTTTGGATTATCTGACCGCAACCCTGGACTCACACCTGACATCATGTCTAACTTCCGGCACATCTCAAATCTCCCCTTTCTGTCAAAAATACTTGAACGTGTCATTGCCTCACAACTTAAATCCCACCTCAGCTCCAATGACCTCTTTGAGCCATTTCAATCCGGTTTCCGATCAAAACACAGCACCGAAACAGCTCTTCTGAAAATCACAAACGACCTCCTCCTCTCCTCAGACTCCGGCAACCTGAACATCCTCATCCTCCACGACCTCACCGCAGCATTCAACACCATCAACCACACCATCCTGCTGTCCCTCCTCGAATCATCACTCAACATCACCGACACTGCACTCTCCTGGCTGAAATCCTACCTCACCGACAGACATCAGTTTATCAACATCAACGTGCACCTCCTCCACTGCTCCTCTGTCCCCCCCCCAGGGTTTGGTGCTTGGCCCCCTCCACTTCATCCTCTATATGCTCCCCCTTGGCAAAATCATTCGTCGCCACAACCTTCAATTTCACTGCTACGCCGATGACATCCAACTTTATATCTCAACAAAAACCATCACCCCCACAACACACCACCAACTGTCTCTCTGAAATAAAAGCATGGATGCAAACAAACTATCTCCAACTGAACAGTGCCAAATCAGACATCATCATCATCGGCCCCCCATCCCGTACCAAAACCATCCAGAATGTCAACTTCACCATTGACAGCAATACTCTATCCCCCTCCCCCCCTCACATCCGCAACCTCGGACAGTCAGCTCAAATTCAATCACCACATCAATCACATCACCAGGACCGCCTTTTTCCACCTCAAAAACATTGCCCGTCTCCGCCCATCACTCTCCTCCTCTGCTGCTGAAACCCTGATTCATGCATTCATCACATCACGACTCCACTACTGCAATAGCATCCTCTACGGCAGTGCTTCTCAAACTTTTTTCAGTAATGTACCCCCTTTGAAACATTTTCTCAGCCAAGTACCCCCTGACCGACCCCGGACATATTGTAATTATAAATAATTACAATATAGTGATGTTCCATCAGTGTTTGATTTATTAACTCCTTCATGCATGAATTACAACAAACTAAGGATATTTTCATCTTTATGCACGAAAAAAAGAATATAACAAAAACAAATTAAAACAGATTTTAAGGAGTTTTTCAATTGAAGTAATATATGTTTAACAAACCAATGAACAAAATGATATATTATGAAAAACTATAAATACAATACACAAATTTGACACATTTATATGAGGACCCCCTTAGTGGTTCTAGGAATATTTTATATAAAATTGTGTTTTCTATTTAACTTATTGTACTAAGATTATTTTTGTAATCATGCATGGTATTTTTTTAATTAACCTTTTAATTTTCTTTATCTCATACCCCCTGCAGTACCCCAACGTACCCTTAGGGGTCCGCGTACCCCCATTTGAGAATCACTGCTCTACGGCATACCATCCAACCTCCTCAATAAACTCCAACATATCCAGAACTCTGCTGCCCGCCTCCTCACCCACACCCGCTCCCGAGACCACATCACTCCCATCCTCCAGAACCTCCACTGGCTCCCCGTCCGTCAAAGAATCCACTTCAAAGTCCTCCTCATTACTCACAAAGCCCTCAACAACCAGCCCCCCCCCCTGCCTCACAGACCTGCTGCACCACCACACCCCTTCCCGCTGCCTCCGCTCATCAGAAGCCAACCTCCTATCCATCCCCACCCGCATCAAGCACCGGACCTGGGGGGACAGAGCCTTCTCCGTCGCTGCCCCCTCCCTCTGGAACTCACTCCCACAACCCATCAGAGACTGCCCTGACCTCACCACCTTCAAAACACTCACAAACACTCACCTCTTCAATCTGGCTTTTAATGTGTGATTGTTTTTGTATTGCTTGATTTTAATTTGACTTTAACTATATTTATTTATTTGTTGTTCTTTTCACTATATCTGTAAAGCGTCTTTGAGCACCTGTAAAAGCGCTAACAAAATAAATCTATTATTATTATTATTAAGTAGTGCAGATGAAGTACACTATATCCATGTCAGATATGAATACAATAAACTAAAAGTTGCAGAGGGTGTTAGTGACCAAGTAAATGCAGGAGTCTATATACATATCATTAGTTTCACAGTGTACTTGGGTGGGGTTAAGACTACACTTGAATAGTTCCTACAGGAGTAGGAGTGTGTGTTGCAGCAGTGTGTACCTGTGAGATTTCTGTGATGGTCTCTGGGTCCACGGTGGACATCTCTATGTAGCACTTGCCCGGCCTGATCCCCTGCAGCACTCCACTGGGGCCCATCACCAGCTGCAGAGCAACAAACACACAAGCTCTTTCACCCATGAGCCAGCCAATCACACCTCCACAGGAAAGTGTTACTGAGCTCAGATGGTACTCACATCCCGGGCCGCCTTTGGGTCAGAGACACAGGAGAAAGTGATGTCACATGTGGAGGCCACCTCTGCAGGAGTGCGGCCTAACCGGGCCCCCTCCTGGGTGAACAGGTCGCACTGCAACACAGGAGAGGACATTTCTATAGTTAGTTTTTATTATGAGTCACATGTACCAACCTCTGGTGCAAGTATTGTAATGCTGATTGGTAACCTCATTTTGATTCATACATGTTATATACCTGTGTTATTCTATATTGTTTATTTTATTCTCTTTGCTTTGTAATGACTGTTTTTAAATACCATTTTATAATGTGGTCCGTTGCACTATTTCTTAATGCTCTTAATTTTTGTAAAGCACTTTGAATTGCCTTGTGTGCTATATAAAATAATTGTCAGAAGGAATAAATGCTTATTTTTAAGATGTCCAACTACACATTTTAAGGTGAACATTTTTGTATCAATATGTTCCGGGTCGTATCAGTGTTGTGTGCCTGTCTGTCCGTCATGAGGTTTCTTTATGAATACAACCAACTTGACCTCAAATGTTCCTTTAGCAGGGTATATCCTGTCGACAGCCTGACATGAGACAACTATCTTTGTATGTGTGCAACCCATTAGCTGGAAAATAAACTAGTGTTACTGCTCTACGAATTAACCCTCTTCATTTTCAGTGGCTGAATGAGTCTATAAAACTCAGATTGACAACTTAAAAAAGGCCGCACAATTAATCAAAATGTAATCTATCGGCATATTCAAATCGCAGGAGGATCAATATTAGTTACAGGCAAAACGTATGTAAATAACCTTATCAAAAATGAATTTTGGTGTTCCATAGATGTACGGTCTACAAACGGTATTCCACAGAATAAAATATTAAATATATATTTATTTTACATTTAGTGTGAAATCCACAACCTCTGCTTCTTCACAATAAAATATACAACAATTGAAACACCATTAATCCTTCAACAATGAGAAAACATATGCAAAAAATATAAATTCCTCCAATATCGTCATTCATATTGCAATGGCAATATCACTTAATGAGATGAATGAGATTGATCGGTGACATGAGTGTGTTCTGTTAGTACCTTTTCTGCTGTGCGGTTCCACACTGTGACAACATGACCCATTTTCAGCAGGTTGGAAACGATCCCGCTCCCCATCAGCCCCAGCCCCAGGAACCCTATCCTGCAGGACAGACCAGAAGGAACAGACATGAAACATTCCTCATGTGGGTTAGCTATAAGTAAGGTGAGTAAGAAAATCAAACATTTTTATCTTAAGGGATCTGGTTGTATAATAGTAATTGTGTGATTTAGTTAATAGTGTTCCTAATGTGCAGGTACCTCTTATCTGTAGGTGTGATGCTGCCGTTGATGGCTGTGCTGTCTGCTGCTTGGATAGATGTTGACCCTGTGTCCTGCAATCACAAGACACGCTGTCAACTTCATACTGAAAATACTATAGTATAACATCTAATGGTAGAAGTTCAATTGAAAAATAACGTCAATCCTTAAAAAGTTGAAACTTTTCCACTGGTAGTTACTCGGGATGCACCGATACATCGGCCAGGTGATCCGCTGTGTACTTTCTAAACAGCTTACTATGAGGTTATAATAACAAACTTGCTCAGCCTTTGAAACTGAAACCATTTTGCAAGAATTTTTTTCCGTTTTTCCTGGCAGAAAGTGGAAGAAAATTACATTAAAACATCGGCATCGGCCAAATTGTTATTCTTAACATCGGCCAAGAAATGTAGCATCGGTGGATCCCTAGTAGTTACTTCACCTCTTCAATGATCTTCAGGCGCTTGCTGATGGGCTCCATGGACGAGGCTGGCTGTGGGCAGGGAGGACCAGAGGAGGTCAGAACACTCATCCAAACTGTACACATGCCTTACCAATATGGCTTTTACTGTATCTTAATTCAAACAAACTATGCAATAAGAAAACGATCTAATAAGTATTAATATAAATACAGATTATATAGACTATAAAACAGCACATACTAACAAACAGCATTTAATGCAGAAGAGTCTCAACCCCTGCGGGGGAGACATGATGAATTAAGCAAAAGCAAAATCATGACTACTCATACTGGCAGCCATGCAAATTGGCGACAGTTTACACCACAATAGAATAAAGGGGTTGATTTGATTTGTGTCAGGTCATTCTTCACATCTAAATGATGGATTCAAAAGCATTCTCCATTTTGGTGAGTTTCCTCTCCGCGAATAGAGTACTGCACCACTCTATTGCCGAGTTTATTTGTGTGGATAACATTTGCTCAGTGTTTTTTCCGTGGTATTGTTTGTGAAAGGTAAAAGAAGGAATAGATCTGGTTACGCTGCCTTTGTCAAGTTTGAGGAACACTGTTCAGCTTGGGTGTGTCAAAAGAGAAGTGAACATCTTTATCTATATCGACCAAATCAGATTCACAATACTACAGATTCCCAGATCTGTTTTTTAACAAGATCACACTTCATAACCAAACTGCTATATGAAACTACTACCGATAACCAAACCTGGATAAAAGAAAAAATGAGGTGTAGATGTGAAAATATTTAGCATGCTTCCTCTTACCTTCTCAGACTGGCTGAGGAGGAAGTGATGGAAATGTGGATCATCTCTCACAGGCTGCAACAGAATAAGATTTCATTGTGAAAATGTTCTCTTTGCATGTGAGTATAGAAAGATTTTAGTCTACATCACACCATGCTGACTCAAATTACCAAGATTATTTCTACTAACAAATAGCTTTTTTAACCATTTTGCCCAGGAGTGTTCATGCTGAGATACCTACATTTCCTGAATATTCCTAAATTCCCAGAAACAGTTAAAAATTCACCTTTTAGATTTTACAATAAAAGAACTCCATAAATAATAACACTGTACATTTTAGAATATATTATATATATATATATATATATATATATATATTCAAGCCAATCCAAACTACAAGAACATCATTTGCCATTTAAGAGAACTAGAGATGTGCCGATTAAATAGTTCTCACACAAATGCACAGGTTTTATTTAATGTAAGTGATGTCAGGAGGTCATTACTTTACAGATCTACACTGAGCATCAACTACTATTCCCCAATCAGGAAGTAGAAATCAATTATAAAGGTAATGAAAACATAACGTTTACATTTATTTTGCAGTTCATCTGTATGACTTCTGAAACTAGATTATATCTGTGAGCCAAGATCCACCCATAAAGCCAGTCACTGCCACAATCTGTCCATGTAAGTGTAGACAGTGTGGAGTCAGCCCTCACAGCTTCAGTTTGGTGTGCACAAACAAATATTTGCTGTGATTTGGGTTTGAAAACAATAAAATATGATTTCCAACAGGCTTAGATTGTATTAAACATGTTGCAGTATTGCAGAGAAAAATGCAGAGAATGAAAAGTGTAATAGGGAAGTGAGCAAAGTGTGTTTACAAATCACCCGAGTAGAAAGAAGGCTGTTGAGTGTCTAGTACTAACCCACACTGACTTCATTTCAAAACATTACAAAACAGGGACAACTAACAGAAATACAGTTCACTTTTTGGACATTTTACTACATGCCTATTTTGGACTAACGTCTGCAGCCGCCATTTTTTGATATTTGTGAAAATGTTTCCACTGAAAGTGATAGACAGTTATCTACAGTTTCATTACTACCAGAAACTGTCACAGAGCAGGTCAAACATTTGTAGTCGAACTGAATCAAACATCATCCTTCTTTTTGAGCCGCCTCATGCAGAGTTGGTGACTAGCTCAACAGCACACGCCAAACAAACAACACACAGGTTCAGGAGTCAAGAGTGAGCAGCACAAAGGTCAGAAGGAAAGGTCTGCAGGTGCTGGTGATAAAAGCCAAAGCTTAAAGTCAGGTGGAAGAACAGCAAGGGCAGGCTTGTTGGGAGGGGGAGGGTTCACCTACACTGCTCTCCCATTTGTATCCTGAACCGAGTCCAGCCCCCAGCCTCTCATGAGTGGACGGCTCGGGGTCAGAGTCAGTTAAGTCCTTAAGGAGGAGAGAGACACATTTTCACCTTCTAAACCAGAGGGGGAATCTTTAGAGGTTCATGTCTGACGTAGTGTGGGAGCTTTTTCTGTCATTTAAACAAGGAGACAGTGTTGTGGTCCAAATATTAAAAATGTCCATTCACCTCCACTGTTATTAGGATTGACGCCGAAATAGGCAGGCATTTTAATACCTGAATAGACAAAACCAAAGTGATGTGCATAGATAGATACCACTAGAGGTAGGTGAGAACATTTGTTCAGTGTAATTTAGGCCAATGGATATCAGACATGTGATGTTGTGACAACATAAGCTCCACGGCCTCTGCTTCTTGACATTTCCTCTTTGAAAGTGTCCTAACATGGATATGAAAAATCCAGGTTTATGAAGAGAAGATGATTAAGGAACTTAAATATGAGGGTGGGTTAGAACCAGAGACACTGAATACATCTCACTTTGAGGATATTACTCAGAAACCAACTGGATTATACAACATGTATATACCACACCATATGAATGAAGAACTAATACGTAATACAACCTGACAGAAGTTAAGGATAATACACTGAATGTAATGTCTAATAAGGTACCATGGTGTTGGACTACATTATCGTTTGTGACTGGAGTAAATATGATCCAATAGCTATGTCAGTGAATGGCTGGTTTTGAAGGTGGACACAATCAAAAACCACAGATCTCATTCTCAAGTTGACAATTCCTACAGATAAACAAAGGAGCATGTTTCAATGCAAAACGTTGATGCGGCCTGACAGGACAGACGCTCAACTCGTCTGTGTCTTACTAACCTTCTCAGAGGGGTCCTTCAGAGCGCTGAGGTCCTCATCATCCTCCTCAAGTATTTTCAGGGGCTTGTTGCGTGTCTTCTTTCCTTTCGACTCTGCTTTGCTGTCTGAGTTCTGTTAAAACACAGATAATCATTTTGTGCTGTTATTTTGTCATGCCAGGACACTTCTCAGTAGTCTGACAACCTTAAGAATGTAGGGCGGTTCTAAAAGAAGCAGATGACATGTACACTGAGCAAAGGGATAACTGATAAGTTAACTGCACTTATTCTGGTGGGCAGATAGCCTAAAGAGAGACCTTGGGTCCTTCTGAATAAACATTTCACAAGGCTGAGACCCCATTTACACGGGAACAAAACGGGTTGTATCCGCATAGTTTCTCTTGCGTATAGCCCTTTCATTTACACGAGGCCGTAACAAAACGATAGAAACGGACCCCACAAACGATAACGGGTCCCAAGGTGGATAGATCTGCAAACAGAACCCTCTGGGGGGTCAAACGGCTCTGTGTAATCGCCTCTATACGATCATTTCCCGATAGATGAAGCCATAGCCCCGCCTCTCCCCACCTCTGCTGTAGCATGGTCAGTAGCTACTGTCAGTAGCTACTGCTAGTGCTACTGCTACTGACCATGCTACAGATGTTAGTGCAAAATCTACAGCTCCTCTACCACAACCATCAGCAACAAGTGGACATGGAGAATTACATGAACTACTAAATGTTGCCAAATCCACCGCGGGGCATAAACAGAAGGGCAACCATGGCAACCATGCTCCGGGGTCTTCTTCGCTGCTTTTGGTGTATTTTGTGGCGGCAGCAGCGCCACTTACAGGCCTGGCATATGTACTACAGCGTTTCCAGCAGGTCGAGCGGTCTCGTGTGAACAGACACGTTAAATGAATCGAATGCGTGTGAACGGAAGACTTTTTTGAAAACGCATACGTTCCCGTGTAAAGGCAGCCTGAGTGTGACACTTCAGAGTATTTCATGAAGGAAATTCTCCCTTCATTTAATATCATGAATTTCAAAGCATGAAAGGAGCATGTCCCACATCTGTGTTGGTGTTGGTTGAGGGTTGGGCATTTGCCAAAATAGATCATACAAGTGTGTTCAAGTAGCAGGTGGTTTCTGCTTTTTGTAAGTTAGATAAAAAACTAAAGATATTAGCTAAAGCATTTTCTTCACAATATATGACAAGCACTACACCATTTATGGCCAATTTACAGTGTAATAATCTAAGATCTGACATTCAACTGACACAGCAAACGATCAGCTCCTCAACCAATACGTTTTAGTCAATTGTCGAGCAAAGAAATCCGTGAATTTCATGAAAAGCCACATTTGATGGTGTCTCATGTTCAGTGTCTCCCAACAAATATGTTGTGGTCCAAGGGTTATATTTTTGACACGCTTCACCTTCTGTTAATCATTTCCTAGAAGTCTTTTATCTTTACACACCCCCTTCGCCCAAAATGCTTTCTACAGGGGACGTGTTGTTTTTTTGGCTGAAGATGGAAAAACACAAACTATCTAAACATGCTAGGTACAACTCCATGACTGAATGCTGCATGGTAGGACACCCCCTCACCTGTTCCTTCCCCTTGGCTTTCTTCAGGAAGTCTTCCACTGCATCCACCGCCTGCTGGAAGCGCTTCCCTTTATTTATCTTGATCATCTCCTCTTTGTGGGGGTGGTAGGGCTTCAGCTGTTCTACTTTGATCCAGGCACTGGGCAGGCACACAGAAAATCAGCTCAAATATACGATGGAGAAGGAAATGCCAAATCCGTCTGAAGAGGCACCCAACAAAGCATACTTACTGGTCCTCAGTTCCAAAGAATTTCACAAAATGACATTTTTTGCCCCTGGGCTTCTTCAGGTCCTTGGGAGGGCTTACGACCTAAAATAAATAAAAGTCATTAGCTTAACATTTGATTTACAAATATACAGATGTATTCTTCCTTGAAGCAGCTGTTAGCATGTCCTTACCTTCCCTGGCCATGGTGGGTATCGACCAAGCTTCCCCCTGAAAGAAGAGTTAAATATTTAGACCTGTGTCCTTCTTCTTTTATAGTACACAGACCCAGTACAACATGTTCTATGACCAGTGGTTCTGACGCTGGCGTAGGTCCAACCTTGTGACCAAAGATGACAGGGTATTCACTTTTAAAAACACATTTTAACATAAAAGGTCAAGATGTTATGCGTATGCATGTGTACAAACATATATTTATCAGCATGTGTGTTGTGAGGCCACTTCACTTTTTTACTATTACAGTGTAATTGACATGTCATGTGATGTGGTGTTTTAATTGTTTGTTTTTTTTGCTTCCCACAATGCAAAATGCATAAAAACTGCAGAACTGCAAAACAGATCAACTATATAGGATACAAGAACATTGAGAATTGACAAATTAGAAAAACTTTAATAGTATAATGGAAGTGCAATGATATCTAATTTGGTGAGCTGAATTATGTTTTCTTTAGTTGAGGCTGTCAGGTCTCTAAGTTTGTCCTCATAAGTTGTAGAAATATTTCTCTTGACACACTGCATGCTTTTTCAGTGTTTTAACAGCAACTCGGGTAAGTTAACTCCTGTACCTCAAACTTACAAAGTAGTCATATATTAGGGTGAATGCTATTTACCAGTAGCGATGTGTCATCATTCAATTAAGACCGCTCGTTTAAAAGCAAGATCTCAGAGCAGCTTTAAGTGAGACGTAACAAGAGGAACAAACACTCCTGCTTGACTTGCTGTTGTTGTGAACATTACTGAAAGTTACAAATACCAAGATATTTTACTTAAGAAAAGTAGTAATACTAGAGTGTAAAAAATGCTCAGTTTCAAGTAAAAGTCCTGCATTTAACATCTTAAGTAAAGTAAACAATATTGGCATCAAAATATACTTTAAGTACCAAAGATAAAGTAACCCATTTTAGAAGTTTATATAGTAGATAATTGGATTATAATTATTATTGATGCAATTAATGTGTTATCAAAGCTGGTACAGGTGCAGCTAGTTTGTATGACTTTGTATACTGCTGCTAGATATTTTACCTATGATTATTTATATTTGTTTATTAAGTGAATTTATATTTCGTTTACGTTTATAATCTGATTCTGTGGAGTCACTAGAAAAAGTACCCCTGAGTAAGTGTACTTCATTACACCAGTGGCAATAATACATGGTAATCCGTGTTGCTAATGTACGAGGCAACGCACCCCATTTTCTTTGAGTGTGTATTGTATCCTGCTGATAACACCACAACAAGAACACAAACTGGTACTACATGAGACTGACACGAGAAAGTTATCTATCTGGATTTAAATTGATCCAAATTCAGAGTCCAATGAAAACTTGTAAATCAATATAGATAAACGCCAGCTGTCTGCGGAGAACATGTAGCAGCAGCTAACAGGAAGAGTAGTGTATACAGTAACAGCTAGCTGGCGTCGCTTATGCTACAGTGCTAGCTCAGCTCGACACAGACTACAACATTTATACTACATTAAAGAACGTTTGGCGAAGCTGGACATATCAACGTGTCGGTATAATACTATAAAATGTTAAACGACTGGTTAGTATCTGAAATAACTACATTTCGTTTAAGTCTTAACCTTTTCTGTAGCTTATCTGCTAGCTATCTGCTAACGACGGCTGCTGGCTGAGTCAGCTTTGCTAGGAATTTGTTTGGGTTGACCATCAACTAGCCCAGTACGCAAACACGTCCATTACCTGCATCTGGTTAACACCAACACAAAAACATGAACAACTACGTTATGCAAAGCAAGGTCATTTAGTAGAGCCAGCGGCGTTTGAAATGTTTAAAGGTTATTTACCACACTAGGTCCCCGATCCTCAGATGCACCGTCGCCATCTTACAACTTTAATAAAACGTCGCACTGAATGACTGAATGAGGTAGAGCAAACACACACCCACTCATCCAAGCCCCCAGGAAGTGCGCCGGACTCTGTGCCCAGCATGTGTCCAAACGGCGGTACTGCAACTTCTTCTTCTTCTTCTTCTTCTTCTCTTCGTTTTTTGGCGGATTGCAAACAACTTAAAAGGTGCATACCGCCACCTACTGTACATGAGTATGAATCATCATATCATACCAACTCTTTAACCTATGATCTAATCAAAATAAATAAATAAATCAACAAAAAACAAAAAACAAAACATGAAATAAATAAAACAAAAATTAAAATCTATGTTCTTTCTTGACCTAATGTTAAATTATTTTTCCTACCCCAGTTTCACTCAAGAATGTAAACAGTGCCTTTCTGGTAGCTCTTACTCCCTCTCCTTTTGTTCCCAAAATACCAACCACACTCCATTCCCTCTCTGCCTCTAAAACTTTAGCCTTTAGTTTTTCTCTTTCAGCTTTATATATGTCACAATGTATCAAGATATGTTCTACATCTTCTTTTACTCCACAGCTCCCACACTTGTCACTGTCACTTTTCCCCATGACATACAGCGTACCATTCAATGCTGTGTGATTTATTCTGAGTCTAGCGATCGTGATTTCCTCCCTTCTGTTTCTTTCTTTATAAATATGAATTGTAATTGTCTTTTGTACTTTGTGATATTCTTTGCCTTTCTGGTCTTTCTCCCACCTTTTCTGCCAGATCTCCATCCCTTTCTTCTTAATTACTGCTTTTCCTTCTCCTTTTCCAAGTTGAACTGGTAATGTTATTTCCTTTTGTAGTGCACTTTTTGCTAATTTATCAGCACACTCGTTCCCTTTCACCCCCTCATGTGCAGGCACCCAGCAGAACTGCAGATCTATGCCGCCTCTGTGCAGTCTTAACAGGCTATGATTCAGTTCTATGAGAATGTCTTCTCTGGCAGTTGTTGTTGATTGTATGCTTTGTAATATGGACAATGAATCTGTGCACATCACCACCCTATCTGGTCTGACCTCTTCAACCCACTGTAATCCTATTATTACTGCCAGCATTTCTGCTGTGTACACTGATAATTTATCAGACGCTCTTTTTGAGATAGATATTTTAAAGTCTGGGATGTATATACCAACTCCAACACACTCTTCCTTGTTCTTAGAACCATCTGTGTAAATTTGTAGGCAATTGTAATACTTTTCATTCAGATACATACTTGTTTTAATTCCCACTTCATTTACTTGCCACTCTTTTTTCCTTTCTACAATACTCATATCTATTTTAGCTTCTGGGAAAAGCCATGGGGGAACACTGCTAAATGGGGTTGCTTTAGCAAACGTGATATTGTCCACTCCATATGCCCTCGTTCTCTCCTTACTCGTCCAGCCAAACCCACGTCCCTGGAATTTTGCATATTCCCAGCAATCCTGTAATATTCTGTTTGAAATATTTTCTTCTCCACTTCCTTGTAGCCTGACCCAGTATGACAGAGCAAGTTTCTCTCTTCTAATCTCCAGAGGTGTCTCTCCTGCTTCTATCAGAACTGCATTGATAGGGGATGACTTTATCGCTCCAATACACAACCGCAATGCTTTATATTGTATTCTATCAATTTTTAAAAGCGATGTTTTTGCTGCTGCTCCATACACTATACAACCATAGTCTATTGTGGACCTCATAATTGATCTGTAAATGTCTATTAATGCTTGTTTGTCTGCGCCCCAGTTGCATCCAGCTACAGCTCGCAATAAATTTAATACTTTTTTGCATTTTGTTTCCACTTGTTTAATATGCATTTTCCATGTATATTTGCTATCAAACCACAGTCCTAGGTATTTGAACTCATTCACCTTTGTCATTGGACGATCATATAGTGTTAGCTGTTGGCCATCAATCTTGCGTTTGTTTGTGAATACCATGTAGCATGACTTGCTTTCTGACATTTTGAATCCCCAGTTATATGACCACCTCTCCACTTTTTTAATCGCTCTAGCTACATTCTCCATTACGTATGGGGCATTTCTTCCCCTCATCCAAATAGCCCCATCATCTGCGTATAGAGCCGATTGAATGCATGTGTCTAAACATGTAAATATATCATTAATCATGATGTTAAATAATATTGGACTGACTGCACTCCCTTGGGGGATACCATTTTCTATTTCAAAATAGTTGGAAATATCTGCTCCAACCTTTACTCTAAATGTCCTGTCTGTTAAAAAGGCCCTTACCCAATTGTACATTCTCCCTCCAATACCCATTCTACTCTATTTGATCAGTAACCCATCCCTCCACATACAGTCATACGCCTTTTCAATGTCAAAGTACACTATTGCCATTATCTCTTTCATTTTCAATGTTTTTTCCACATCATTACTCACTCTTACTAAAGCATCTATTGTGGACCGCCCTTTACGAAATCCGCTCTGAAAACTACTCGGCAGCCCTTTCTGCTCCAGTACATGTGAGAGCCTACGGACAATGATCTTTTCCATCCATTTACATAGGTGTGATGTAAGAGCTATTGGTCTGTAGTTACTAGGGTTAGCTGTATCTTTCCCTGGCTTATTGAATGGTAGCACGACTGCTGTTTTCCACAAACTTGGCATATCTCCTTCTCTCCAGATTTTATTGAAAAGACTCAGCACCATTGTCATAGTTTCCATAGGTAACTGTCTAAACATAGCATAGCATAGCTGGTCTTGTCCTGGGGCTGTATAACCTGTACCTTGTAAGGCTATTTTGAGTTCTGACATTGTAAATTCCACATCAAGAGCTGACCTATTATCCTGTCTCTTCTCCTTCACGTTTTCATTCTCTGCTAGTAACTGCTGTTTTTGCTGCCTATGAATATCACTGAGATGCTCCCCGCTATGTACTGCTGCAAGTGTCCTTCCTAACATATCTGCCTTCTCTTTATCTGTCACTGCCAGCCTCTCCCCATCAACCAAAGCTGGAATTTTAATGGATTTCCTTTTCCCACTCATCCGCTTAAACATGGACCAGACATCACCTAATTTTACTCCTCTGCCAATGGTAGAACAAAATTCTCTCCATGTTCTCTTTTTTGTGTATTTGATTGTCCTTCGAGCAGCTGCCCTTTTCCTTTGAAACTCTATAACATTATTTTGTGTCATGTTTTTCTTTAATTCTCTAAATGCATTATTTCGCTCTTTAATAGCCCTGCTGCATTCCTCATTCCACCATGGCACCACTTTCTTCCTACCCTTGGTTGTTGTTTTGGGTATACTGTTCTCTGCTGCATTTAGAATATGTTGCGTTATTTGGCTTGTAATGACCTCTATGCTTCCCTCTGATGTTAGCAGGCGTACCGACTCCTCACACCATATCCTAAATTTCCCCCAATCAGCTTTAGCAAAGCACCACCTGGTTATTGCACCTCCTTCCTGTATATATACATTAGTATTCATTTTAGTAAGCACTGGATAATGGTCACTTCCTACTGTGGATTTATTCAAAACAAACCATTCGCATGTATGAACCAAACAGTTTGACACTAATGTCAGATCCAGGCATGAAACCTTCCCCCTGTGTACATCTACTCTTGTGCCATGTCCATCATTAAGGCATACTAGTGTTCTTTCCTCCAGCATTTCTTCCACTATATTTCCGTTACTGTCTGTATGGTTGCTGCCCCATAGACTGTTGTGTGCATTGAAATCACCACACCAAACTTCCTTCCTATGTTTATTGCCTGCTATTTCTTTAAATATATCAGTGGTTAGATTTTTACATGGGTTGTATAAATTGATTATCCTAATGTTATCTTGTTTCCTAGGGTTGCAGATTTCCACTATAATACACTCTATATCAGGGCTCTCCAACACGTCGATCGCGAGCTACCGGTAGCTCGCGGGCAGCTTTTCAGTAGCTCGCCGCTCGATTATCGATTATAGTAGTGTAGTAAGGTTGCTTATTGATTTTTCGGCCGCGGCTGGACAATAAGGTTTTTTTATTTTAGAATTTTTTCTGTCACACGAATATCAAATGGTCGGTGACGCAGAGCTCAAGGAACAGACGTGACAGCAGCACAGCGACAACACACACGGAGCAGTCTGCTTTCTCCACCAGCACCAGTCCAGAACCAACAGCAGAATGACCCGCTCTGAATCAGGCCCTGTCGCTGCGGCTCAGAGACACACAGGCAGGGATTTGTGTTTTTTGAAAAACACTCGTTATCGTCATGTCAGGTTTTTGGTGGATTTAATCAAGTCTTGGATTGCAGAGTATGAATGTCCTCTTGCTATTTTCAGTTGATAAATACTTGTGTAAAGTTTGTGAAGGCAGGAGGAAAGCTTCCGCGATCACCGTCTCCTCTCCGTTCCTCCAAACCCCGCCCCCTCCCTGAAAATAATGAGTGACAGGCTGATAGTGACCCGATAGAAACTTTATTATTCACTTAATCACTGATTGAGATATGTTGAAGCTAACTTAATCTCATACATTCATGGGATTTATGTAACAGTAAGACAGAGAATGTAAGTGTGCACCCACATGCACTATTTTTGTTTTTATAATGCTGTTGTAAATACTCCTGTTGTCTGCTGTGTTCAGACTTAAGTCACGTGTGTGATGCCACATTCAAGACATTCAGTGTCTTTTTTTTTTTAACAGAAGACCGTTGCTAGAAGCTGCAGCTAGACTGCTGAAGTATTAGTTTTTTGTTTTTGAGGATGGAACCATTTTCACACACAGATATAGGGAGGCTAGACCTATACAATTGATTTATTATGGTTTATAATTTAATGTCAAGACGAAGAAGAAGAAGAAAAAGATGGCTGAACAACTGTTCAGTGTCAATCCTGTGGAGATCTCCAAAATAATGTTCAGCTTAAGTCTCAGCAAAACTCACAACATTTCTGGAGCCTTGTAGACCCTGAAAACTATAGAACATTCACCAAGCAGCACTGAAAATGTCTGCTTTATTTGGTTCTGTTATACATACCTTTGTGAAGCAGCTTTTTCTGACATGAATGAAATCTAAATACAGAACAATACTGACTGATGAACATTTAAATGACTCTATTAGAGTGAACCGAAGTGGGTACACTCCAGCATACAGTACACCTGT